TTTGAAGCCTGCTTGTTCATATTGTTCCAACAGAAGCAAGCATTGGTCACTCAAGTCTGGATGGTGTAAGGCTGAAGTCCAGCCATTACTGAGACCAGAGACATCATGTCCATCAGCTGATTCAAGTTTCTGCCTAAAACTCTTATTGGATACGTATGCCTGGAAGATAAGACACTCAAATCCACCTGCTGGTTTACACTGGATCCATGAACAAGATAGTTCCTAGTCATTCGCCTCAATCCAAGCTAGCAATGAAAGTGTAATGGATGGGGATCCTAATTGCAATACTAAACAGAAATGTAAAATAGGTGATCACTCTTCTAGTCAGAGATTCACGTTGACTTGATGAAATCAGAAAATGAAACCAAAAGGCAACAACAAAGTACCTCAGTTGAGAACCTTTTGCTGTAACACAACTGGATAAAATGTGCCAGTAACATTGAAATACAACTTCACCAAAGAAAGATCAAGCTCATCTTCTGCTTTGACTGAAACACGTCAGTCCCTCTCTGGATTTGAATCCAATGAGGCCCAACTGTGCACACTTTGCCAACATTTTTACACTCTCAAATAAACTTTGACGATCAGTTTAAGATATGAAATGCCCGACGAACTTCCATATGGTTGAAAGCTAGGCTAAGGTGGGTATACTTAAGGACAACTTTCAGTGATGACTTTAGCTCACTATGATTTGAATAGCATCACCTGAATAATGGATGGCTTGGAACATCTAGTCGATGGACTGATCTGCGTACGAGATCCCGGACTTCATTTCCGTTTCCAAAAGTTTCCTATAACCCTGAATTAGAAAGAAAAGATCAGGATATAATAGTTTTACTAGCGATAGCAATAGCACAAACAGATTTTATACAGGATTGATCGTAAAACATGAGAGTGCAAAGGCTGACATCCAAGGAACTAATTTTCCCTGATTCAAGACTCATTTTTGCTTAGTCCTGAGTAGAGTGCTTGAGAAGAAAGCAAGCTAGGGTTGGTGAAGAAGTGGTCGTTTGACGACCCAAAGGCCACTTCATATACCTGTTCCTCAGGTGAATGCAATAGCAAAGTAAATTAGATACCTAGAACAAAAGCCCCCCTAAGAAATTAAGAAAGATTATGAAGTCTGTCTTGGTCTCAGTCAGTGTTAACTATGACCGAACACCACTGAGTGTTCTCCTCTGGAAAATAAGGGCATCAGAAGTGCCCGTCCAGGCAAAGTTAACCCCACTTACGCCAAAGAGTTAAAGTGAAAATTCTTACCCTAGCTGTTACCCTCAACTTGCAGAGTGCATATCAGTGATGCTTTGTGATTCCAACAGGTGCCGCGTGGTGTCAGCATCAGAACATTAACCAAAACTGCAGGCAAAGAGGTAGACGAGTCAGGATGCTCAACCTAGTCAGGCATCCGTGCTGTGAACGTAACAAGAAGTTCAACATATGGACATTAACCTTTGATAAACATTCAACAATCACACATTTGAGCCTGGTATTCTCAAGGCTCAAGATTTCCCACCGAGTCCAATCTCCCCCAGTAACTCTGAGTGGAGAGCCACGAAAATTAGATGTTGTGGTGAACGTTGTCCCAAGAGAATCTAGAGTAAAAGTGAAAACATGAACCTTAGATTAGTGGGAGAAGATTCATGTAGAACAGCTGGTACGTACCATACAATGTATTTAAGTATCTTGGTGTGTATGCGTAAGTTTGTCACCAATGATGTATTAAATATGTCCAATGGTTTGCTCTGGGGATGGTCTACGTTGAATACCTGACAAATGCCACACAATATGGAGCTGGAGAAGAAATTCTTCCTGATGGATTTGAAGGTATGAAACAGTGCCCTCAAGAATTCTACAGATGGTGCCGCCTTCTTCGAGATTTAACGAACTGTTTCTTCAATGGTACCTGTGCAAATGACAAGGATACAAGGTTTCAACTTAAGCTACATTTTGGCCATAAGTCAGCAGAGAAACAATGGATAGGAAATTTAAACCATGACGACCAAGTAAAGTTGACAACACATGTACATAGCAAACTGTTGGTGATGTAAGCTCCGGGTGGGCCATCTCAGTACAGCAAGTGATGACACACCTGTAGACTTTCCGTTGTCAGATAATTCATCGGAACTGTAAGAAAATGGCTCAAAACTTTAGCATACAGATGCAGTGGAGGTTGTTTGGCCCGACATTCCAACTGAAGGGGTCACCATTGTTTGTAGCCAGCAAGAAGACACTGAATTGCCCAAATTAGGAACATGGTTGGTACATGAACTGGGGGGCATGTGGCCAAGTGGTTAGGGTTTGTGGCTTCCAATCATAGGGTCTGAGGTTCCCTGGCGGTAAATTGTGGCCCTTGGCAAGCCTCTTAACCCCTGCTTGCATCTCTCCACCCAGGAGTATTAAAGGGTACCATACCAGCATTAGCTGGGGAAACAACCTGCGATGGACTGGCATCCAGTCGTTTCATGCCAAGGACACCAGAGATAAACACCTGCTTGATGAGCCAAATTGGCTCGGACCAGACTTTTTTGGTACATGAACTACATGTAGCACTACTTCAGTTGCATCAATGAAGATGGAAAAGAAAGGTGGTGCTCTCTCAAGCGTGAAACTACCAATTCCCACATGCACATAATGGCAGTGCTCTCTCAAGCGTGAAACTACCAATTCCCACATGTACATAATGGTAGTGCTCCCTCAAGCGTGAAACTACCAAATCCCACATGTACATAATGGCAGTGCTCTCTCAAGCGTGAAACTACCAAATCCCACATGTACATAATGGCAGTGCTCTCTCAAGCGTGAAACTACCAATTCCCACATGTACATAATGGTAGTGCTCCCTCAAGCGTGAAACTACCCATTCCCACAAAGATGTGATCTAGTGCAAGGCTTCCCCTGCCCATTCAAATGTATAGCATCCAATCTCACTGGTTTTAGTGACCATGCACCTACAAGCGGTTAGTTTTTGGCCAAAGCTGCCACCTCGCATTAAAAAAATTAAAAGCAAAAATTTAAAAGGGAAATAAATAATCCAAGTCTGAGATGTCCATGCAATGGTCCTCTTTCACACTGTCCTGATTAGCAAAGAAGGTCATAAAATACAAGATTCATCTCTTTTTTTCACAAGTTAAAACAATATTGGGCCAGAAATAAAGGAAAGACAAGCTTGCCTGGGGCTTGACTTGAACTGACTTGGATGGAGCTCCTTGATGTCACAGAGGTTAACATCCTGGTGGTCACAAAAGGGAAGGGTGGTTGTTGGAGAGGTGAATTGGATCGGCTCCATCAAGGTAGACCTATGGGACATCATATCCTCTGTATTGACAAAGCACAGGAAATATGAGTTGAAAGTTATGAGTTGCAGATAAAACAACTTTGGGCCATTCTACCTGCTTCCTAGATCAACTCAAATGAAAGTATGAAGCAAGTTCTTTGAACTTTAAAGTCATTTTTGCTTGTTTAATATCTGAGAATTAATCATTTCATAAAATACAAGAGTAATGCAGGTGAAATCCTACAAACAGAATGGAACTCTTCTAAAATGAAATTCCTGTGGTTCAGTTCTGTAGCAATTTGCTCTTCCATTCTAACCTGAGTTGCAAACTGGACTGGACATCTTATTTGTTATTATTTTCATTCCTAACTATTTCTGGTAATGGACACCTCAAAAATGTCCAAGGCACTGTAGCTCGCAAGCCTGAAGAGACCTGTAGAGAGGAGACAATGAGAAGCAGTTAGAGTTTTACAGGTGGGAGGAAAACCCCAGAGGAATATTCTGGGTAAAACCCACGGAATCAGGTAGGGACTGAAAATGTAATGCACAAGTGGACATAGCTGGGAATCGAACCCGGACCGCAGAGATGGAAGGCGAGGAAAGAACTTGACAATTCACCGAAGGGAAAAAAAGGTAACACAATTTCGGAGGTATTTTTTAATTGAAATAATGTACCAGTGTCGACAGATCCTAGTCATGCAGTATTCTGTGCACGGCTGATTCTGCAGCCCCTGGGGTGGTTCCTACACAGCCTTGTTCTCAGGCCGACTGCATTATCAGCCTGGGATGAGCTCCATGCACATGTCTTCTTTAGTTTCTGGGCAAAGAAACACACGGCAAATTCTTCCAACCAGGGTTGCTACGGGAAACCAATCAATGCCATCATTCTGTCAACTTTATTTCAATGTTAAATGAACACAAAGTCTTCATGAAACACCTGTGATTTTTGCCATACTTGAAAGTCATTAGGCTTAAGTAACATCCCATGACCCCCACTGGCTTGCGTGTTTTATCAAAAATCTTCAATTTCTGTTTCCTGACAACATTAGCCTTGTGGTTATTCAATGATGCAAAACATGCATGTTAAGGCCTAAAGAGAAAACTTTAGGTCTCCGCTTTCTGGTCAGAGGTTGGCTCCAAAAGTGGTGAAGAAACATCTTTTTTTGGCCCTCATTTTTTTTTTCAAATAGACTGACCCCCCCACTACATGCACATGCACTTACTGCTTAAAAGTATTTCCAGCTTGTCTATGTATACAGGACATAAGATCACCACACCTGCCTAGTTGCAATTAACATGATTAAATCAATCACAAGGGTTAGCAGGTGGGTTAGAATGGGTGAGCTTGGAGGAAAACAAAAAACCACAAAGTACTCACCAGAAGCTTTGAGGGCCCCACAGCAATGGAGGGTCTATGGTTTACATTGGTGTTTGCCTAAAAGGCAACCCTTAAAATCCCCTCTTCTGGTGTTCTATACGTGTCAACCTTTATAAGATAAGACCGCAGTGCTGAACTTGGGGTATTCTAGATTTTAAAAACAGATTGTTTGGAAATTCTGAAATCAGGAAAATCCTGAGAACAAATCCTGAAATCAGGAGCGATCCTGGCAAATTTCTGCCCTGTAGCAGTATGTGTGGGTGAGCATAATGCCATATCCAGACTTACATGTTGCCATTATCCAGTCATCTTTGACCTGATTGCCAGCCGGCTGCCAGGTGTGTATGCAGGTGTGGGGTCCAGCATTGAAGTGTGCCAATGCAACGCAGGCAAGTAGGGTACATTTGATTACAAGGCAGACCTGGAAAAATAGCAAGCTATCGCATAAAAGAAACTCAAACTAACTGAAGAATGTTCACAGGCAAAGTTGCAGGGAACGGAATTAATAGGGACTAACACAAGAATTCTACATGGACATTTAAGTATCAAAACCCCCCAGAAAAACTGATCAACCCTTAAAAAAATGACCAAACTGAAAAATTAAATACACTGTAAGACTTGAAAAACAAGGACTGAAGTTTAACCAAAAAAGAGCTTGGGGGCTGTGGAATCACAGATCAGCCCAAACTTTATACTTCTCCACTGCCGTGCTCAATGTACATCTAGGTAGGCCCGCACATTCAGTGTGTGGTCTTGAACTTCAACTGACCATCATAACAAAACAATATGTTGGATTGACCACACCTAATGTTTACAAATGAAGTATGGGACAGCCGAGTGAGAGTGCTGGCAGTGACAAGTTACATGTACACGGTCCAAAATAACATGGCTCTTTCAGAGTTAACCAACACAGTGTGTCAACAGGGTCAAATAGAACTTCCGAGAATACATGTACATTCGGACTTCAATCAATGATTCTAGCAGACAGAACTCAAGCAGATGACCACTCCAGTTACGAAAAACAATTCACGACATGTAAGTTGACTTGTCTCTGCTGATTTGCTTCATGTACATTGAGTGTAGCCAGACCATGTGGCCAAATTAATGCAAGAAGCTACGGCTTAAATCAACAGCAGGTATGCTAATATAATGACGTAGGTAAAGGAGGGGAACGCTTAACTACTGGTCTATGGCATTTTCACCGTCATGAAAGGGGAGCTACTCTTATGTTAAAAAGAGATTCATTCAAATCCAAGCAACTGTACCTGTAACATTTGGCTTAGCTTCACTTACGGGGAGCAACCCTGACCTGGGAATGGTCTTGAAACTCAAGTAACTCATGGAGGCAAATTGAACGCACCTGTGGTGTGCCAATTAACATTCTCAGAGATCACCCCAACAGCTGGTGTCTGGAGGTGTACATGTTCATCACCAGTAAAGATTGCGCAAATCACCCTAGTAACAAAATGGCCGTGTCAAAATGGCAAAAATTATTAAAATTCCTGAACAGTGGAAGGAAAGGAAGATTTTTTATTTAAAGTTGATAAATTCTAGTAACCCCTAATAGGCCTACGTACACGTACAAGTTTTTCCAGAAAAGTACACGTAGGCCTAGGCCTAAAATCTTCATTGTGGACACAATTTCAAAGCATTTATTCTGCATTTAAAAAAATGGAAAATCATGCAAATAATTAACCTTTTCAATGTTCGCAATGGATTATGGGTTTGGGTGAGAAACAAGCAATGCATTTGATGCACAACCCTTATGGGGGAAGTGAACTTGTCAGAAATCAATTTACAGTTTTTCTACTAAATGTTTTTAAGCACATCAACTCAGAGATTCATGTGTATTATCATATTTTACAAGAAATATTTTCGAACAAGTTTTCAAATGTTTGTAAAAAGAAAAATTAACCTTTAATTGTCTTTTCTTTTAAGGGCACCAGTCACCCTACAGGCTTAAAATGAACGTACATTGTTACTGGTCATTCAGGATAAATGAGCTACATGTACAAGTTTCGATTTTGAGTGAACAATACTAGAGCATTAATATTCACAATCTTAGTCAAAGCATGGTCAAACCATGGATGGGCTGAATTCTTTTCTACATAAACAGGAACATTCATTTCTGTGTTTTGGAAAATAAATAATGTTAATTTTGCAGAACTTCCCATTGTCTACATGGTCTTTGGCTTTGGAAGCCATCTCTCTACTTTTTGCAGCTGTTCAAAAATCAAAATCTCATGAGTTTTTCCGTCTGTTCCTGTAAAACCCTGACGAAGAGGTGGTGTGTCATCCTGTTCCGAGAACAGTGTCCTTGAGTCGTGTTCTCGCCGTTCGAGCGCGAGAACAAGGAACCCGTGTCAAGAACACGCAGTCCGAACTCGATCTAACTACTTAAGTACTGGGCTGAATTCAAATGCAACATGTTCAACTTAAGTTCGACTCGAGGTGAAAAATACCGAACAGAAGTACTAAATATGTCTTAATTTAATGCTAAAACTAGCCACAGTAGTCTATCGTGCATTGAACAAACACTAGGCACAAAGTCTGAATGACATGTCTCCTTATTAAACACAAAAAATGAAATTATCGTTTGTTTGCTTGCTCCGTATAAAATCTACGCACGTGGGCATCATCAAGCGAATGTTAAGCAATGGCAGTTACAGCGCCCCCTATATGATAGCACTGCACCAAACGCGCTTGCGCCGAATTAAGTGGTGCATAAAATCTCTCAAATTCTCACCCAGTACACCTGGCCCCTCGAGCTCGTTATTTTGTGGACCCTGGGATTATTTACAACACGATCGAGGTGCCGTACTCGGGACAGATCAGACAAATAATTATGTAAATCACGAATTTGGGACTTTTATATTCCAACTCACTATATTTTGCCCACAAAAACCTCCAACTCGTGGTCTTATTTTGCACAGAGGTGGGCGGCTAAATTGAAGGAGCCAATAGTTTGACAAAAAGTGCGGCGTATTTTCGGGGAAGGCCAATAACAAAAAAATGTGGCTAACCCTCGACTTGAACTTCAGGTAGTCAGAAAGTACAAAGTCTGAGTTCTACACTGCAAAAACCATGGTGTTAAAATCAACACTGTTTGGTGTCATCAGATGACCACACCACAGGGTGTTACTCTAACACCACTGGTGTAACTTTGTACACCTATAAGTGTGACAGTGCACCGGAGGGTGTTAAAAGTAACATCAAATTTTTAATACCAATGAAAAGTGTTGGTGTAGAGTTCTCATAACACCAGGAGTGTTAATTTTTAACACCCCATGCAGTTTTTGCAATGTATTTGACTAATTAAGCCTATTCTTTAGGAGAATTTTAGTCAAAACCAACTACAAAACAACTTACTTTTAGAATTTCTTGTATAGAAAAAAAATAGTGAACATGTAAATGCAGTATAACTGCTGAAGTTTAATTAATACCGCCTGCCTTTGAAGAGATAAAAACAGTAGGAAATGGGGTCAATGCACGGTAAAATGCACGGTAAAACAAGTGTAGGATTGAAGTTCAATACATGTAAATAAAGTTGGGGGCTGGGATGTAGGGTTTTTTTTCAGCCAAAAAAGATTTGATACTGTTTAGAAACACTTGACCACTCAAGCAATATCGTAAGGATCTAAGTTTTTCATTTACATTTTTTTACAAAGATACCATTTGCCATTCCTGAAGAAGAAACCTAGAAGTGATGCCTGGCAGTACGGTAAAAGCAGGAATTCAGAATTTCACTTTGAACTATTCGTTACATATGACAAAACTTATTCAGCGAGCTAACAAACAGATGAGGAAGATTTGCCGTTAGAAACAAGTGACAAGACACACAAGAAATATGGAAAGAGACATTATACAATAAGTGCCAGGTAAACATTAAAAAAATGTCACTGACACTGTCTCCGACTTCTCGGATGAGGAAACTAAACAGTCTTAATCATCCTTTTTTCCGTTGTCTGTCAGCACTGACTCTACGATGTCATTGAGTCCACTTTCCAGTAATGCTCCTATGAGCTCGTCACGTGTGGCCTGTTCCCCTTCCCTGCCGAGCCATGCTCCCATCATGGCATTGGCCTGCTCACGGATCTCAAGGTTTTCTGTCTGTATGCTACCGATCTCCTCATCCGTGAAGTTAAGCTCGGAGGCCAGCGTCTTCCAGTTTTCGCCAAGGCGGGCAGACACTGCCTCCACCTCTTCCACCAAGAGGATGTTGGATTTTTCAAGACCTGGACAGGAATTCGCCAAAATCGGGGGAATATTCATTAACAAAACCCAGCCACATATTCTCTTACTCTCTGAGTCACATTTCCCATTATCCTGGAATCAACCATTCTTCAGGTCATACTGTGTCAGACAGGACCCTAAAAGTTAGATCTACTCTTCTTCAGCCACTCATATCAATCTGGCAATGTCATCACATTTGGGCAAGGCAGCCATTTTTTTGAGATGCTGGTGGAATAGCTCAATCTCTTTACTTCCCTTGAAGTAACAAAAACAGGTTGGTGGGGACACAGACACCTGCAAGCATCAAACCCATGTGTAGGTCAATCTTCAAGGACTTCCCCATTTCAACGAGGGTACGCCCTCAGTTTTAAGTGGCGTAACTATGGTGTTTAACCCTAACAGTCCTCAATCTCAAGGAGTGAGGACTGTTAGGGTTCATACCTTCTTCTCCTCCTTTCAGCAAGTCGTCATTTTCCTCCACTACAGCTTCCGTCTTCAACTCTTCCACTGTAGGTTGCTGCAACACAAAAGGAATAAAATACCACCCTCAAAAGTAGAGCTGTGTCACAATGCACTGAACATTGCTGACATCAGACAAGCCCAAAGATCGTATGGCACCGCATAGCGGCGCAAGATGGAGAACTTCACCGTAAATACACGTAAAATGTTGTAATTGCATAGGCGCCATTTGAGCAAACGATACGCCTGCACAATGCACATTACTGCGTAGATGCAGGCGCCACGGCAGGCACATGCACCTGGTGTGCCTGCGCTAAGCATCACCGTAAACTGTGCAGGGGTATCACTTGCTCAAATGGCACCCATGGTAATTACACCTTTTGGGCAGAGTTATCTATCTTGAGCCTTCGGTGCTATACGATCTATGGACAAGACAGCTTGAAGATTCCACAATTATGTGGAATGACGCTGAGCTAATGTATCTTATTTTAGGGAAGCCAAATGGCATCTTAATTTCTAGTCAAAGACAGGGCCAAAGATAGGAAAACTGCAGAGCTAGGGGCAGACTTACAGGCATATCCTTGGCCAGTTTGGTGACCATCAGCTCCAGGTATGCCGGCACAGACTTGACAGGTGGCTGGGAGCTGGTGATAGTCTGGAAGAAGTAGGGGCTACGCCTGGCCAAGAGCCGCAGAGCACACCAGGCAAAGTTGCTGTTATTCACAACTCTGACGGGAAATGAATGAGAAAGTGTAGACATCAATTACAAGGAAAAAAATGACTAGGATTCTCTTCAAGCATGAGCAAGGTTCAAGGATTCTTAAAACAAAAGCCGTGGGGTTTGCACGGTTTTTGGAACATTCTCTTTCAAAGGGGCGAGAAGCATATTACTAGAGGTAAGACTAAACTTTGTGATCTGTGTGCCGTGTTGTATTCGAGTCCATCACAAGTCCCTGCAAGTCCCTGTATTATTAAAGTCCATCACAAGTCATTCAGTCTTAAGCCAATTCACAAGCTATTCGAATGAGGTGTGACAAAAGCATTCTGTTGTTATTGTTTACCGTTAGTATGACTGCACTTGTGAAGGGACTTGTGACTGGACTTGTGACTGGACTTGTGAAGGGACTTGTGACTGGACTTGTGAAGGGACTTGTGACTGGACTTGTGAAGGGACTTGTGACTGGCCCTGTGAAGGTACATGTGACTGGCCTTGTGAAGGGACTTGTGATAACTTGTGACTGAACTTGTGAAAGGACTTGTGATGGACTCAAACACAACACTGTCTGTGTATTGTAGTCATGTATTTGCACTAAAAGCGGCTAAACAAAGACACTGGTCAATGGTTGTTTCTCTGACGTTTGAAAAAGCAGGTGTTGTGTGTACTGTACAGAGCTTGATGGACTGCAAGCATATATGCTACAGTGACCCAACAACAGAATTGAAATGATCCCTTTTTAACCCAGATCAACACTTCGCACAATTTAATCCTAAAAGAATAAAAAAAATCACTCGGATGATAATGAAGTTTTACATTTGATTGAGTTTCCTCTTCATGCCTGAAGGTTCTCCTGTCTGACTTACTTGTACTCTGGTTCTATCATGGCGCCAGGGTCAGCTTGCTCAATTGCTTCCTCAAAATACTCCTCCAGAGATGGTATGAAGATCCTAGATAATTCAACCCAAAATTCCACTTCACCAACATAAAGCAACCATGATGTGAGATGTGAGAGAAAGAACAATGCACAACACAATTTGCAATTACAGAAATCTAAGAAGTCCTCCATCTCAATCTGTGAGGTCCTCCTTCTCCATCTGTGAGGTCCTCCTTCTCCATCTGAGAGGACCTGCATCTCAACCGGTGGGGAACTGAATTTGAACATATAGATCCAGCGTGTGAATCTGTAAAATCCTACATCTGAATCTGTGAGGAAACCCATCTAACTCTGTGAGATCTTTGCCTTTCTCTTTAAGGACCTACTGCTCCATCTGTGAGGACATGCACCTAAACCCCTGGTGTACTAAACTTCACTATGTGGGCCCCTACAAGTGAATAAGCAGTAAGTGCATCTCAGACTGTGAGGACCTGCACTTCACTCTGTGAGGACCTCTATGTCAATCTGTGAGGACCTAGTATCTCATCCTCTGAAATTCTGCACCACTAGACTGCTCACCTGTTCTCAGCCCGGCATGCCTCTAGGTTGTCAGGGCAGATGTTCCATAGCCTAGTCAGCTCAGGGCTTCCCATGTCAATCTTCTTATTGGGGGCGTTGATTCTCAGCTCCTCCCCCAGACTGCGCTTCCTTGCCCTGAGGCGCAATGGAACACAGACAGTGAGGTGACTAGGGGTAACTGTGTGTTAAGTGGAAACCAACTACATGTATGGGATGTCACTGTGAGTGACAGAGGGCGCTTTCTTTGTTACTTGAAAACATCATCCATTCAGGCAGACAGACTGGAAAAGCATACTTCTACATGTGTAGGTTTTGGTTTAGCACAGAGGACAGACACACAGCAAAAAATGATTTGCCCTGTACTCGACAGTAAATCTTTTGTTTAAAACTGGTCCTCAGATGTCTTTGGGAGTGTTAAAATAATAGGAACAAGGGGAAACAAAACTGATTTGCACTCTTTGGGAATTGACTTTCTTTAGGATAGCAAAACATGACTTGATCTGCCAAAAATTGAGATGTGGAATGTACAGAAGTAATCTAAATGCTCTTATCAAAGATTGAAAACTCACATTCAAGTGCTGGTTGGGCTCGGGCTGATGTCCAAACTTGTGCATGAGGGCCTGATTTTACACAACCTTCATTTGCAACACCACAAAACTCCACTTCCATGACATGGATCTTACCTTGGTTTGGGCTGTGCTTGAGCAGAATCAGGCCTGTTCAAAACAAAAAGGTTGCATTATTTTAAATGATGTATTTCAATATCTTCAGACAATTCAGAAATCCGAGTTTACGTCAGAATATGTCAAAATTTCTTCAACATAAAGAATTTCCTTGTTTTATGACGTCAAGCCCAAAATTTGCAAGAGGTCTGCTTACTTCTCTCGGATGTAACTCGGACAGCCTTCATTCTTCCATGTGTTCCAGTGCTCCTCTCTACTCAAGATGTGCTGGAAAACAAAAGCAATAAATAAAAGGTCTGATAAACCGCAGTATGAAAAACAGCCTGAAACAAATTTAATGACCATGATCATTAGCACATGGTAAGGCATTACAGAAGTAAGCCTAGTCTTAATGACTTGGCTATGGTTGACAATATTACATAATCCAATGGAAGCTGCTAGCTTGTGGCTTAGCCCATTCTGCAGAGACATGTGTACTCTTATGAGCCATAGCCGAATGATTTGGGCAAACCTTAGGGGAATATGGACTAGGATGAGGGCAACATTCTTCACACAGAACGTTCCATTTGGGAGGCCTTATTCTCACTGCAGGGCAGGGCAAAATAGAACACTGTAACAGAACTGTCTATGCAGGTTGGAGGGGTGAAATTCTTGCTGATCTGTGAAAATGTTTCAGTGGGAACGATCCGAAGGTTCTCGACTATCATGTACCTGGATGGTCTTGGCAAATTCCTCTCCTCCTGGAGATGTCTCCTTCAGGAGGTCATAGACAGTCTCAGTGGTGGTCTTAATGAATTGGGACATGTCATCAGTGAGCACCTGCTGAGCCCTAAGAGACAAGAGAAAAAAACAAGCAAAATATAAACAAGACATTGATAAGTCAGTGCTAAGCAGCTGCAACCGCTTAGCAAAAATTAGATAAGACCAGTCAAGAGCAGTATAGACAGTATGACTCTCCTGAAGGTAACTGGTTTTTAGCTAAGCAATGTTTCCTGTGCTAAGTCAAATTTTGTACTTAGTATTTCCCAGGTCTTGATGGTGAAATCAGAAATAATGCCATCTGCTTACCCTTTGAATTTGACATGCTGGTTGAGATACTGAAACAAGATGAGAAACTGCAGAAGAACGTAGCGTCTGAATGAGACATCGTTCAGTTGAAGGTCATAGAGCTAGTGGATTAACAAGAGACAATTGACAGAGACATGTGGAACCGAGTTTCAGAGGAGCTGATGGTTAAAAACTGGATGACAAATTTTTATGAAAATCATTGCTTGGTAAACAGAGACTTGTCTTGCCCATAGGAGTCTGAAACGCAGCCATGGTGATTCTAGTCAAACTCTTACTTTCTCACTGGTGAGATATTTGGCAAAGAAGACTTGTTTCCCAGTGGGTGTCTCATCTTGTGTCTTGGATGCAGTGATGTCGTCGAGCTTCAAGCTGCTGAATGCTCCCAAGACAGCTCTGGCATTCTGGGTCAGATGATGAGAATTATGGTTTATGGTTGAGAAGGGGAATTTCAAAGAAGTACTTGGAATAAAAGGAAGAGGTTAAGACAAAATTCTGGGACCAGTAGGGCAAAAAAAATCAGCTTTCTTTAATTTTTTTTCATTTCCCCAACAAACTGCATTGCACAGCTGTTGAAGGTGAACAAATTGTGCCGTGAATGTCACCTTTGACCTCTGGTTTGTAACACAAATTAAGAGTTTTGATCTCAAGATTAAAGGCAGGGTAGTCAACTATAAAACCAGCTTTGAGTTAGCTGTTTCTTAATCTGTAATCATCCTTGTTCTTGTAGGGCTTCATGGGGGTTCACATAATCTGAAAGCTATGATGCTCCGTTGACTTTAACCCCTTAACGCCGGGATTCTTTTGACCGCCACTGCTGGACCGCGACTGCTGGGCTGCGGTATGCCCTGAATGCAAGGCCTTGTCCAGCAGCAGGCCCACATTGAAACCGCAGCTGCATGGTGAATAGAATGTATGTGTGGTATGCACTAATCCTCACACAAAGCCGCGGGTGCTAAGGAGTTCAGGAGATTTGAACCTGAGGAAGGCAAACAATGGTAACTTGTGCAGTTCATTTGATCAAATTACACTGAAACAAACAGCATGAGGGAAGAATATGCAGAAAGACCAGTTCTGACCCTTTGGAATAAGCGCCACTTGTCCTTGATGTAGCACTGGGTGGGGTTGCGGAAGTAATCTTGTAAGGCCCAGAATTTGCGATAGAGGAGGTAATCGATGGGTGAAGAACTAGATGCCATCTCTCCTTCCTCGACCTCCATGGTGTCATCTTTGTCCTCCGACTATGAAGAAATGCATTTTACAAATGTTAATAGAATTTGGAGGCAAATTTCTACTAATAGGATTTTTATAACCAGTGATGTCGGACGGGGAAAGTTGAACATGAGGATCCGACCAAGTGTTCTGGCTGTTTTATGTTGGGTTTCGGCAGGCTTTTCACACTACAGCTGATGGATGTCATTGTATTAGGTTCAGCAGGGTGTCAGGATTATTAGGGTTGGGGGAAGGGTTAACGACCACATTTTTCTCCCAATACAAAATAGTTTACCCAACAGCTTTTCCTTAAATAAGGTACATTCTGTGAGCTTTTTTAAGTGAGAAATGTTTCACAAACCTACAGTCATTTTTTCATGTGTTGTTACAAAAATGAAACACTGGTCTTCTCTGGCTGAAGCCAGCATTTCCTTGTTGTTCGATTCTCATCACTTCTGGATTCTATGATAATTATTAGAAAATGAATAAATTCCAAGTGTTTGAAACTAGTCAGCGCATAGGCAAGAGGTTGTCACCAAGGGTGAATTTTTTCAGAATTGAGGAAGGCAGAGTATTACTTAAATCAGAGAGGATTTTTGTGGGTGGACGTGAGTGACCAAGTGAATTACAGTGACTTACTCTCAGAGGTCCGTCGAGAGGTTCCGTGTTGAAGGATGTGATGTTTTCTAAGTGGAACTGACTCATGAGGTTCAACCCTGCATGTAAGCAAGACGGCTGAAGGAAGTACTCATAAACGTGATAGCATAACTCTGAAGGGCTGGAATCCAAACTCCCATTTTCTTAGGAATTTTTTCATTTCCAAATCAAAAAACCACACTGAATGAGCATCACTGGTGCTGCAGTCCACAGGTTACAAGTTTGAAACCTGTTTTAGTCAACTTTTTCAAACCAAAAACAAGTGAAAGCGACATAACAATGCAGCACATAGAGAACAATTCAGATTCATTGGAAAAATAAGTAATTCTTATTAATACCTGATTTTTCATCGAGTGGAAAAAACCTTGCCAGAAACAACTGGATGCGGCCACAGAACACTGTGTTTTGGGACTTGGAAAGTCTGCGCAGCAAATCTGAAAACCAAAAATTACAAGTTGGACGAAATCTGGCAATGCTGGGTACTTAAGAAGCAGATTTGATATGAACCAAGGACGGCTGAAATCTAGTATCCAGTGATGCCAAAATTACAACTGAACGCGAACATTTCAAAGAAATTGAGTAACTTACCATTGCACATTCGAAGGAGGAAATTCTTGCCAGACGTATAAAGCACATTCTGTTTCAGATAAAAGGAAATCAGCCTTATAATTCTGAAGATGATATTTCTAGGATTCTGTTTTCAAGATGTATTTTTGCGCTGGGGAGATGTTAATTTAAGGGCAAAACCCGTCATATAAATCTGTCATTATATATGCAGATTTTTTTCAACAAACATGTAATTGTAATATCTGTGAACGTGCGCTTGGTTTTTGGGCACAAGTGAGTTCATACTCGGAGATTCACTTAACATCGGGAATGAGAACTCACTGATTTCCAGGTGTCGACTCGCTCCTCAACAAATCTGAAGACTGTGTCGCAAACACTGATGGGGACTGACTCAAATACATCTGTCAACAGGAGGAATGGAGTGGCTGGGGAACATATCCCAAGATGCACTGCTTCAATGGAGAGGTTGATGAGGGAAGTGAAATGTTGACAGTCGCTGTCTTTGACCTGGGGGAAGGTCAGAGGTCACAGACCGGTATCAAGGCAAGCGTGTGGAAATGGTTGTCTGAATCAAATGATTGTCTTTTCCTGTTTAGCCAGTCGCATTTTAAACGCTAAAAACAGAAGGTTTTTCAAAATTTTACACAGATTACTTTTAAATGCATGAATCTCATGAATTAAAGCGTGACTTTTTGGGAAACTTTAATAACAAACAGATCAGGAAAGAAAACGACACATATTACACCTAATGTGCACACACATGGATGGCAATTCTGTGAACTCACCACTAAATTCACCATGACATCACGAAAAGCTTGATCCAAGGCAACCTTCTTTTCAGCCTCACTGAAAACAAAACCCAAAACGTGGCTCTAAACTTACTGTATACACATATAAACTGTGGAGAAATCCAAGTCAGGAAATTTGTTGTTTTTGAAACATGGCCGCAACATAATTGTGGTTTCATTGCATGAATACTAACAAAACCTTGAATGTTGTTGTGACATACAAAACTACTGCATCACGGAATTGAACTGTTTACAGAAAAGCCCAAAAATGTATACTTCGTATATGCATTTTTCAACCAGGTTCTTTCTAGAACCCAGTTCTAGAAAGAATGTTTTTTCATTATGAAAATGGCAGTACCAGATTTTCGTTGCGTAAAATGCAAACCAATGTGACACTCTATACCACTGAGTGCAAACACCTGACCTAGTCGGTTACTGATGCTTTTGGAGGAAAGAAAAACAGGAAACTAGGATGGTGTAAAATGGAAAGTACATCAGATAACAGAGCCTTGCTCTTTCTTACGAGTGTATAGAGATTAACACACAGCATGTATGTACATGTAATGTACACATTTTTGGATTTTCTATCAAAAAATGCAATACCTTGATTGCTAATTAATGATGAATGGAAGTTATGAGTGAAAAGCCATCAGGATGACTTTCATCTAAACAATAAAGCAGAAGTCTTTGAGATGGATGCACCATTTGTATTCTTTTTGTGGACAGATGAAGACATAAATTAACGGGATGTGAACATGGAAAGGACTCAACCTTCTAAAGTTGAAGTCATCAGACGTCAGACGGTTTCACACAACTCACACAATGTGTGTGCACACCTTCATGATGCTAATACAGTAAATAAGTTGGCCACCAGCACCATACCTTCCATCCACAGTGCTGGATTGTTGTTTCAGCTTTTCTGTCCCAGGACTTAAAAAAGCTTGCTCTATGCCTTCCTGCAATCCAAAGAGAGTGTACATGTACAGGCACAAAACAATCACATGTTCAAGGTTTGGAAAAATTAGGGTGTACTACGATTTGGGAAGAGTTCCATTCCATACACGGATACCAGTAATTATTCCCTATGGTGACCTACCAGCCATTAGAAAGTAAAAACATGTCCAGAGAAGTTCAATTTAGGAGGGAAAAAACCAAGTTGTTTTCTTAGAAAACACTTCCGACCACTATCACAGGGTTTGGGCACACGGTGCCAAGTGGCATCCGCATGTGGAACTCTTTCCTGCTAGTTTTCATCTCACCACGTATCCCTGTATATCCCATTCCCAGGATCTACATGTATCCTACTTGGGACTTGGATAAATTTGCTTTCGATCTTCTCCATTCAATTTATTTCCACTTCAGAGCCACATCATTGCCACCAACAGGGAAGTTGGGTTGGACTTGTTACGCCCCAACTATAGCATGAGTCCCAACTATAGTTGGGACAGTCCCAACTGTAGGGCTGCAGTTGGGCTGGCCCAACTATTGTTGACCAATGTATGTGGGAAATGTCTCAACATTGTCCAAGTCAATGTGTCTCACACTTGACACAGTTCATCTAAAATGTGGCATTTCATCTGTTCATCTAGCCCTATGACCAATGACGTGACATTTGTAAACAATATGACTTTGGCACATGCTGGGCACATCATGCACACAGGACCTCTCTGCTGTAGTTGGGCCGGCCCAACTGTGGCACTATAGTTGGGACGGCCCAGCTATAGTTGAGACGGGCCCAACTATAGATCATTAGATGGGACTGATGCTATAGTGTGGGCGTAACAGCCTTACAATTTTTCAACAATCCCCATTCATTTGTGTTGCTGCATTCACAAAAAGATTCCCATTTGGGCATCTCAATTCTCATACATGTTTTTGATTTGATGTTCCAGTGATTTCTACCAACATGGCCAATGCAACATGGCATAGGCCTACGTCTTAGCCTGTGTTCAGGTGTTTTGCTGTGGGGTAACTACAGGGGGCAGGTCCCCCTCCCCGTCATGCCTGTGGATACCATCCCTCCCGCGGATGCCCCCATTTGAAATCTGTGAGTAGGCATAGGCCTACATGTAATTTCCTTTGACGAAACACATGTACAGGTAAGCCCTATAGCTGCCGATTATTCATGTTCTGCTGCCCCTTGAGCTTGTTGAGAAAATGTCTTCATCCTTAACGTTAGCCCTGGTTACACCACTGGTATTATGGTAATATGGAGGAGTATTTTCGAGGGACAGGGTAATAACTCTGAAATGTAGATGTATGGAAACCTTCTCATTTTTTTCGTGGCCAAAAAGGAAGTGTGAAGATCACAAAAATTACTTTTGTCCGGGAAATGGGCACCACTCCCAACCACCGAACTTCGAACTTCCCACGCCATACTCATTCACAACTCGACAAAAACTCAGAACGTGTTTAACGGCAAAATATGATGCACAAAATAATCCTGAAACTGCTAGTTGTGATCCATAGGTAAAGTAATGTTTGCTGGAAAGTGAAAATACTCACACAAAACGTCTGCCGAGCGCTCACGAAATCAAACGAGGGAGCCGCCATTTTAGAACATGTTAATAGCATGGTTGGTACCTAGCACTGGACATGTACAACCCTTGATCATGATGTAGTAGAGGCAGTGCTCAGACTATTTGTTCTTCAACGACGCTTGTCGTCTGCTCTTTCACTGCTATTATTTTCGACAGATAAATATTCTTCTCAAAATTACTTTTATCTTTAGACAATGATTTCATGTTTTGTGTCCAGTTTTGTTCTATGTTACCAGTTAAGTGTTTGAAAAAATGTTGATCCGGGATAATAGGCCTACTTGTAGGGATCAACGGGTACAAAGTTGACTTAAAGGCAGTGAAAAGTGTATTCTTTGTTGGGGGTGGAACGTCGTACCGCAAGATCAGAACCACGCTGATTATGATCATTCAATAAATTCAGGCTCAAAAAATGTGACATTTTGTGTCCCTTTTTGACATGGAAGTGTCACTAAAATTGATTTCAAACTATATCTATTTGTTTGGCAGGTAATTTGCATTAATTCGTCCCTCTTCGAAGTTTGAGAAAGTGTTCTGAACTTAAGTAATGTCAGATGCGACAGGGACACTAGACAGAAAATCGAACGCCTAATTTATAGAATGACGCATTAACACAACGACTTCTTCCTCTGGTTCAGCATAAACGTTTTTTTGAAGGCAAGGTGACCACAAAACCAATGTCCTCTGAAATAACAGATTACAAAGTAATTCTTTTGTACTACTTTTTACACAGAGGACCTCCATTACAACATGTTACACGTATGTCAGATTACAAGACCTGAATTTATTGATGACAGCAGAGCAATCAAATATCAGAAATGAAAATGTTAAAAAAGTTACAAAGCTCATTTTGTTTTTAATGAGGTAAAAAAGAACTTGTAGTGATACATGAGTTAAAAATCCCATGAATAGATTTGCAAAGATGTACAAACCAACGCTTGAAATATGTGAACTTCAAATTTTTCATTAAAAACGATCTAAACTACCATAAAAAATTGAATAGTATCAAATGCAAGCAAGTAAACTTGAATAGATATATAATACTGAGATTCTAATCCTACAAATTCAAAGCCAGATATAAGATTAGTTTAAGCATAAAAAAAAAAGCTGTCATGAAACCGTTTTAAATTGTTAAAGGTACAAATTCAATACGCTCTAAAATATACCTATTAAACTAGTAACACTTTCTAGAAACTTCAAGATTTAAAATGCTAGCTGCAATGATAGAATTCAACATGTGTCTCTTGTAAAATCAAAGTACAAGAAGACTTTTACAAACTTTCTTCTCAGAAAAAATAGACTTGACATTATATACTGTACATCTGTCGAGCTGCGTTATCAACAGTATGCAGTCAGTTTAAGTGAAAAAAAATTGAGGTGCGTTCTTTTTACCAAAATTGTAAATCTGCTACAAGCCTACAACTTGTTTTCAATACTCTGCCTACGTCAGATTGATTCACTGACTGAAAAAGACTGTGCTATGAGCCAGTTTGGTATTTCAACAGTGCATGCTGAAAATGAAGTGTGTCCGAGGTCATCTGGATGTGGAGGTCTGCCCAAGATCTGGCTCTAAGCAGACGTGTGCGTGCTTTGTTCTTGAATGATCTTGCTTTTTGAAATACCGGACTCACTAAAAAATACCTCCAGTTTTAGGGTTGAGCCAGAAGAAAAATATAAATCTTATTCCGTAAACTTGTACAGACTATTTTCATTTCACGTCACAATTGCTGTTATCTATTACTGTGACTTATCTTTGATACTAAAAAAAAGCTTTCAATCAAGTACTTTTGCTACGGCAACATAAAAACAAATTTTACACTATAAGTACTTAAAATTTAGATTGTCATAATACACAAATTTGGTTAAAAACACACTTCAATATACAGGCTATTAGTAGCAATGTTGTTTGTTGCATTAATTAGTGCATATAAAATTCCTCGCATTCTTTTATAGAAAATATGAGAACAAGCTCAAATATACATACTACGGGAAACGACGGTGCTTGTTGCATTTATTGGTGCATAAAAATATACCTTGTATTTACTACCATAGGGAAAATATAAAAACTACTAAATGTGACCTGTTCTGCAAAAAAGGTATATTATGCTGTAAAAACGAAGACAATTTGTCACTAGCTGGAAAGCCCACAATGTAAAAATATAATTTGGTATATGGCAGAATTCAACCCCTCCCTCAGTTCCAGGGGAAAATTTTTTTTTTTTCATATATATAAATTTTACAGAGTTTAACAAAGTATAACTAAGAAAATGGGCTTTGAAAAAGCTAAGTCTAACACAGATTAGGCTTGGAAGACACACCCTAATAGCTCTTCCTATCAACCAGCATGTTCCCTTTGAACATTTCTGTTCATAAAACCTGACGCTTTAATGATCAGAGATATTAAATCTCAAAAAAACCCTGAATATCTGTGAGGAATTTGGCCCTCAGAACTTTGAGCGGGCCATTCTGTGGAAAGGCATAGTGCAACTTACTTCCCCTTTTTCTGAAGTGCGTCATATGTTTATTTGTTCTTTTCAGACTGAAATATTTACGAGCAATGTCCTCTACATCTTTGACGAATTAACAAACAAGTATTACGTAAATGAATGTTAGATTTATTATTAAAAAACTGAGTTTTACTTCTGAGTATGAAGAGAATATTAATAAACTGCAACAAATTGGTACCAATAGTCACACGGAACAGAACAATGAACACACAAAATTTGTACAAGGTTCATTGGAAAACTAAGTAGATATCCTTGTTAATTCACTTTGGTATTGTTTGCTGATTCCAGATCTATGCTCATGCTTCGTCTGCCAAAATGAAGGCCTGGTTGGTGTATTCCTGATGGGATTCTTGGCTGCTTCTGTGGCCGTCTGTTTGTCGCTTGGCAAAGTTGACAAAGACCTATTGAGGACAACAAGGCTTCAAATTAATTGGGTACACTTGTGCTTCAAGGACCGATATGCGGCTCCATAACATTTGATATAATTTTATTTTAGTCTAAGTTCTGTGATGTTACTGAATAGGAGTTTTAATTGTAAAGTCACACTTGCCGAGGCTATTATATTATTTCTCGGAAAACCACATAAAAATCTATGAAATAAACAATACCACTGGTGGAAACTTGATTCAAGTTGAGGAAATCCTTATAAAAAAGAATCCATTGAGAGTTTTTTCACATGCAAAACTTGACGATTTTGAGAAACAAATAAACGAACCAACTGTAGTTCTGGTTTGATTAATAGGTATAGATCACATCAAATCACCTGATCCAGTGTTGTTTGGGTGACAGAATATTCCTGGATACCAAGGCGGGCTTTGTTATCTTCCACAGCACCAAAGATGTCCGCCAGTCTCTTGGTTTCAAGGGGCAGCTGGTATCGCACCATGTTGTGATGTCTCTCCTAAAGAAAGACAATGCCAGAGTTTTCAAGCTTTGCTTTGCTTGCTTGCTTTACTTTGCTTGAAAACATATCTACGTAACAGGATCAGCACTGTATTTTTGCCAAATGGGCTCGCAGTACATGGGATAACTTTCAGACCAACTTCCGGGACCCTAAATATTTACTACAATGCCACAGATTTTACTTCAGCAAAAAGAACATCAACTCCAGTGGGTGAAATTGGAAGAAAATATAAGTGTTAAAGGCAATCATTAGCAGTCTTTCTCTAGAGGAGTTTGCCGGATTTCTTTTTTGATCAAACCATTCAAATTGCCTCACAAAAGCAGCTTTAGATCATTGCCCACTGAGAGGTCTGAGATCACAGATTGAAAAATTCCTACTATTTGTGCCTTTCTTCTCTGCAGTTCGGGAGCGAATCCCATAACATGAAGAGTTTCAGTACCTACCTGATTCCGTGGGTTTTACCTAGAACATTCCTCTGAGGTTATTTCTCCCACCTCTAATTTGAAAATATTTTCATCATCTCCTCTCTGAAGGTTTCTCCAGACTCGTGAGCCAGTGTCTAGGGTGCTTTTGAGGAATCCTTGGTTTGATTACAAGAAATAGCTAAACAATTTCATTTACAAAGCTAAAAAGATTCAAGTCCATACCTTCAGGATGGCATCAGGAAATGTGCTGGCAACAAAGTCCATAACGCTGCTCCAATCAAGCGTCTCATCACTGATGCGGAGGATGAGGGTGTATCCATCGCCATGGCGATGCTTGACTTGCTGAGGGCTGCCCAGACATTGGAACCTCCCGTTAACCATGATGGCTAGACGTGTACAGAGAAGCTCACATTCTTCCATGCTGGAGAAACAAACACATAAATCATACTAACCACTCCCTGACAACTTGTCCCAAGCTTCGTATTACATTTGACCCTCCAAAATCTGGACTTTTTCAAGTGACAAGACAGCACAACCACAGTTCTTCAATACAAAGTTGAATTTAATTATAAATGCTGACCCTTGGAGGCCATTTATTCAAGATTTGTGCAACATTTCTTACCACATTTTCACAAATTTTGAAACCCTGAGACAATGTTGCCAAGCAAAGTTTGCTACAATATGCAGCAGTAACCTGACTAATCCAAGCTTCTGTGTATATCACTCATCGGGTATCACTCAAGTGTGCGAACAAGCACAGACATTAACCAGCACCATGTGGGAGGACATAATTTATCAGAGCGGTTTGGGCCATCCTCCTTGCTATGCCCCAGGTAACCAATACGTGTGTACATGCCATCTGGCATGAACGTAAATTAGATTTTGAAATCACATATGTATGTACATGTATTGACAATTCACCCCTTAGATGGGCAAGGATTTGGAGTTTGGGTCGGAAGGGATTTTACCTGTGAGAGGTAAGAATCACTGAGTGGCCGTTTTTGATCATAGCAAGGACGTTCGACCACACGGCTTGCTTGGTGATTGGATCCATGCCAGAGGTTGGCTCATCCTATGGAATGCAAAGAAAAATGTCATTCCAAATTTACCATTTCAAATCTCTCATAATGGTCCTTAACAAACAAGATTGCAAATGCTCAAAACACTATCTGGAAACAAAGAAATTCCCAACACAATGCTCTTCTAAATCAACTTCAACTCCTTTTTTAACACTCTGAAGCTCAAGAAGACCCTTCTTCAAATGTGATCTGTCAGTGTCCTTCAATGTTGAAAATATTAGAACAAAAGAAAAACAATAAAATCTGGCAATTTTTAGCGCGTGAAGGGTCACTGGACAAGTAGCTGCACGTCTGAAAACCTTGAAGGAACAGTTGATTTCATTAATGAAAAATGGACATGTTACTGGTTCTCGAAGTGCTTGTGGCTCACCATGAGGACAACTTGTGGGTTGCCAAGAAGAGCGATGGCCGTAGACAGCGATCGTTTCATCCCACCGCTGTATGTGCCGATGCGATTGTCCACATACTGCCGCATACCCATCTGCTGAACGACACTCTTCACAGCCTGTATGTAGGGAATAAATCAAAACTTCTCGCTAACGCATTTCGGAAATTTGTGAGATTGCACTCGTGTTATTAGAACTAGAAACATGGGAAAAACTAGTTCTTGAAGTTGTACACACTTGTTTTGGAACCAAAATATTCTCCACTTGACATTTTCATCCATAATAGGTTTTAGCCCAAGTGAAGTACATCTAAGGGGGAAGATTAAAACCCGATGAATGGTCTATAACATTTAAGTGGCAGGCAAATAGCCTTCTGAATGACTTGTTACCTCTATGTGGCTTATGGCCTTTCTGTGTAGTTTGTAGTCTTTTGACTGGCTTACGGTTTTCTGAGCGTCTAAAGACTTCCTGTGATTCCTGTGGCCGTTTGCAGTAGCCTGTAGCTTTTAAAGTGTCTTGTTGCTTTTGGAGTGGAACACAGTGATGGCTTATTGAAATGGCTTAAAGCCCATTTATCCTGCTTACCACTTTACACCGTTTTCCGCTCAGTCCTTTTATCCTAGCATAGCAAGTAAGCAGCTCGGTGCCGGTCAGGCAATTGTACAAGGCGTCCCCTTGTGGGCAGTAACCAACACTGTCAAGGAGGGAATGAACACAGTGAGGAAAAGATAGTCAAGTAATGGTCCCGTGTTCTGCGGATGGTGGGTTCACATCTAACCCATGTCAAATATCTCAGTTCAACCTTACTTAGATTGGGACACGCTTTGCACCATCAGCAAACCTGACAGTGTGGTGCAAATTTCTTGCTGTGGAAAAGAACCTGTAATCACAAGACAATCTTCCTAGTAGGTAGAGCACTGGTGCTGTTTTTCACAGGTCGGGGTTCTAATCTAACTTCCATCAACATTACAAAATCTTGATTGGTTAGTGGGACAGTTGTTCTGATGAATAATTACTTTTTTGAACAAGTCATGACACAGGATCCATTCAGAAATGTTTCACTGTTTTTCAAGCTTGGTTGGTTAAGTACCTGGTAAAGCGTTCTGTTGGTTGAAGGTTCAATTCCTGCTAATGTCAATTTTCTTTTCTTTACTCTACCTATTGGATCTGACTGTGACGCTGCCACATGTGGGCATCAGATCATTTGTGATCATCCTGAATGTTGTGGTCTTGCCAGCTCCATTCACACCCAACAGTCCAAAACACTTCAAAATGAAGAGGTCAGAATTGAAATTACAAGCTTGAAATGGAAGAACAGCAGAATCATATAGAATTGAGACAGAACGATGCTACGATTGTGAAACAATGTTGGGAATCACACTATCAGAACATCTTGATTGTAATATACACAAGTCAACCTGCAGGATGCTGGATCTGGCTAGACTGGCTTACCTGTCCCCCGGGAATGCCAACACAGAGATCATCCACGGCTACCAAAGAAGAGTTGCCAAAAGATTGGTACACCTTGGAGACAATAAGGCATAAAACCAATGTTGTGCAATCGAGTCACGAAAACAAACTACAAAAAATTATGCAATTATGAAGTTTTCAAGTAATATATCTGGTTAAAAAACAGAACTGTTTTTAAATGACAAAGCTTCATAGGTATGGATACCAACACTGTAAACACTTCTGGCATTAGAAGAGCAAAACAGAAGAATCAACATCACTGGTTGAAACTTCCTGTGATTCTGATTGGCCAGTTAAAGATGGTAGTTTAGCTCTTCCCATTCCGGGGAAATAGTTCAGCCTGACAGTAGAACTCTATTCAGGGAAATCGCTGATGATTCTTTTTTATGTTAACATATTCTACCCTTGGGGGGTGGGGATGAATGGGTGGCTGGGTGGGGATAGTGCTTTGGGGAGGGGTGAGTGAGGATATCTTTTCAGAGTCCAGTTTACCTTGGTCAGGTTCTTGACGCACACCAAGTCTGTCTTGGTGTCTCCAGACAACACCCGTCTCCTCTCCACGTTGACATCCCCATCTTCGACGCCATGGTGATCAGGGGTCCTGAGAAAGACCAATCAAGAGACACTACCTAAGCTTGAATTTTGGGCTAACCAAGAACACTGCTTCATTTGTACTTAAATGAAGAAGCACTGAATAACAGTAATAATGGTCACGACAGAAGTACAAGCTTAGATCTTGTTCTTTCAAAGCACGGTGCACTTCAGCCTTAGGCCAGCAAATAGCAAAAGTTCCAAATGGAGAAAGAAATACATACTCAGTCTTGCAATCCTTGCATTGCCAACGACAGGTGCGCTCAACAACCAGGAGGAAGATGAACGCAACAGCGCTCTCTATGGCCAAAGCGACAAATTTCCAACCCAGCAGCTCAAAGCTGAAGGGATCAGCATAGGTGTCTAGACCAAAGGTGGAGTAGATGTCCGCCTGAGACTGGTTGTAGAGAAGATCAATGAGACCGGCGGCTAGACAGTACGGCGAGAAAATCAAAAAGACCTTGTCGATGTAGTAGAAGGCATCATGCTCACTGTTGTTAAAACCCTGTAAGTTTGGGAATGGAAACACAATATTGTTTCTCAACCATTTCTAGTTAGCCAAAACTGTAGTGTGCAGGGAAATTATTTGGGGCAGTGCAGGGAGCGATATTAAGCAGGGTCGTTTGAAGCAAAAGATGGATTAACGGTTAAACAGGTGTTTAAGTTTACACAGAGATGTGTGCATTAAGAACGTCAAAGCTGAGAAATGATGCTGCTGGAAGAAGTGTTGTTGTCGAGACCATCACAAGACCAGACACAAGACCAGACACAAGACCATCACAAGACCATCACAAGACCAGACACAAGACCAGTCACAAGATCAGTCACCAGACCAGTCACAAGACCAGTCACAAGACCAGTCACAGTTAACAGGGTGAACAATGACAAAGAAATGCTTTTGTTGTAGTTCATTCGAATGGCTTGGGACTTGAATTCAGACTGGAGATCTTGTGCTGGTCTTGTGTGGTCTTATGAAGGTCTTGAGTGGTCTTGACCACAACACTGGCTGGAAGATATAACTCACATCAATGCAACAAGCAAAGTGATGCACTTCCTATGGGCATTTCCAATTTGATCATTTTTAAATTGTTAATTGAACTGCGTATGAGATAAAGCAGCATTTCATCAACGTACAACCTGTATGTGAGAGAAGATTTTACCTTCAAGAATCCATAAAGGACTGAAGTCTTCCAATTCAAGGATTGGAGTTGGAACTCACCAGAGGAGCTTCTTGGAGGAACTTGGGGATAATAGTGAGGATGGCGATTCCGAATGCCAGACAGAAGTAGACGATGAAGGCCGTGCCTGTTGATTTGAAGAATGGCACCAGCACGTACATCTGGCAGGCGGTAGCAAGTCTGCCCATGAACAAACATCCAAGAAGAACCAGAAACAACTTAATGGAAACTGACTATGAATCCAATTTTGAGTTAAAGGATGCAAGTTTTAATGTCAAGATCTCACCTCCAAAGCACTATGCACTCTTTATCCATCAACAGTCAACATTTCTGACAATTGCTATTGAGTGGAATTTGATTCGGTCAGGTGAACCCAAGAATACTTGTGAACATTTTTCCCACAACTTCTCTGGTAGCACAGAGTTCAGATTTCGCATTTAAGTACACAGGAGTGGTAAATCTAAGTCCCATGTTCTAACAGGATCTACGTTTGTTTAAATCCGTGAAATATTCAGATTTGAATTTGATTTGGACAAACCGACTCACCCATAGAGAAACAGCAGCAAGCAGAATGCTGAAATGTTGCTGCTAGAGCCAAAGGCACGCATACCGAACGCACTGATGATGATGAGACTTATGCAAACGGGGATCAGGTACATGAACTGCATGAAAAAATGGACCGCAAAATGGCCAATAAAACCATTGAGGAGGGAACACTTAGAGTGAAATGGCCAATTATGCCATTTATGAAAATAACAAGGAAGTGAATGGATAAATCAATATGTAAGAGAGGCCATATCCTTCACACTTTCAGAAAAAATCCCTGGACTGAACAAAGTCTAAGCACCAAGTTAAAACTTCAAGAATGGAAGAAATTTATACACGTCACAACAAAGGCTACGAGAGAAAACAGAATTGTTGACGTTGTGAATTCACTTTGTTTACACTTTCTACCAGAGTATGGACTGAGCCTACCATCACTTCGGTACCTACCATGTCCCAGACCAGATTGGCCAACCAGTATCCAGTGGGAGTCACACCACTGACATAGTGAAGCCTCTTACATCCGTTGTTATACTCCATGACCAGGAAGGTAGCAAAGGTGGCAGGGATCAGACAGAAGGCCAGGACAATCATAAGACAGATGCCAAAGTTCTGAACGATTTGATCCCAGCTGAAGATGAAAAGAAATTATTTGAAAAGCCAAGAGGTTGTTAATGTAGATCTTCAAAAGACTGCAGTTTCGAACAAGAAGAACCTTCGCTCTAGTTTCACTCTAGCTGCATACGGCCATGAGGCAAGGCCGAATCCAGACACAATGTTTGGAGGGGAGTGGAGGCCCAAAACAAGTAAGCAGTGTCCCAGCGCACTTCTGTATTAACTGACTGCACTAATCACATAAAGCAGCTGCTCAGAAACAATTTCCTGTACAAAATTGCTCGTTCCATACAAAACAACATCTATTTAAGACACTTAATAATATCTTCACTTTGATTAAAAAAACCCTCATTAGTCGCGATGGTGGTGGTGGGGGGAAGGCCCCTGTTGGCCCCCTGGATCCACCCTTGTAAACAGGGAGTTAGTAAGGTGAGTCGGTCCAAAGGCATGCTTAAAAAACTTCACTCACTTAAAAATTTTGTTTGTCTATCTGCTGGTGGGGGCTGGGGTTACATAGCTCAAAAAAAACCCGAGAACGTTCCATACCATTTCAAAATTTAGTATCAATGAAGCCAAAGGAAAAAGTCATTTTTTGAAGATTCAAGAATTTGGAGGAAGCTTTCTGGACTTGTAAACTGTGGGTAAATTTGAAAGCTAAAAATTGTGGCGGAAGTTGTTGACATAAAGGGCAAACTCTTGTTGTGTAGCCCACAACTGTTCAAGAAATACTTACGCTTCTCTCAAGCTCATACGCCCTTCAGAAAATTGGAAGGGATGATTGTACGCCGAGATACCTGAAAAACAAAATGAGTAAAAAACTGGGATGAAGTGAAATATTCCTTGCAGACACAGTTATGGGCGGCTTATGATGTGAAGTCGTCGGATTGGCCTCGAATAATGAACATCGTCACCAAACAGTGATCACCCATACAATCCTACACTTAACTTCTTAAAGTGTTACTGCGACAGCCAAGAACTCACCGTATGTCGCTGGGTCTTGATTGGCCGGCAGAGAGGACCTTAAGATGAGATTGTTGGCCGTGTTCAGTGAAATTGGCATGGCGTGAAAGCCCTTGTTGTTGAACCAAGCCTTCACGTTCAAACAAAGAAAAAGATGACAACATAATCACTATCAACAAGTTTGTTTTTCCCTTACAAAACACAACATAAACAACTTGACATAAACCAAGAAACATCTGGGGTGTATTCCAAAAAAATTACAACAAGGAAGATTCCAGACAAGAGAGAAAACAGCCATCAAGTCTGCTTTAGTCTTTACGAACAAACTAAAGAGAGAAACTTTTCAATGCCAACTAAAGTTCACATCTGTTTTGACTTACCTTGATAACATCTTTGGTGGTTCCATCTGAACTTTTGATGGCGTGCAAGGTCAGTCCATTGTATCTGATCACAAAATACAATTGGAAAAATTTCAGCAATACTGAACTGGGAAAAATAAGGTAGAGTATGCCAGTAGAGTATGCTAGTGAATGACTTGGACAATGAAGGTTTTCTGTCCTTTTCGAATGAGCATTAGCCTGTCAACAAAGGAAAGTTCATTGGTAAGGATGGCTGACCTTCTGAATCGGAAGTCTGCTGTCGACCTGAGCAAGTACTTGTGGAGATCCACCTTCAGGCTCAGGTCCTGCAGTATGTCAGTCGTGTTCATTCTCCACTCCGGAGGTTTGACCCCCGTCGCGCCTGCGGGGCATTCCATGAAGCTCTTGGAGCACGAGCAGTCTGGGGCAGTGCGATCCTGCACCAGGATGTCTTCGATCTCAGCGCTGGTGTAGTCTGAGACAGGTTTTGAGAAGAACCGTTCCACAAATCGACAGGTGCCGGAACTGAGATATCCAAAAATTCACAAAATTGATGGAGAAAAGTGAACTGGGGGTTTAAGAGTTAGGTTTTTTAACAAGTAAAAAAGGTTTAGAGTTTGAACAAGGAGAACCTTTGAGATTTGACAACTGAAGGTTGTGAGTTTAGCCAAGGAAAGCTACAAATTTCAATAAGGAAGGTTAGAGGATTAAGGTTTGAAAGCTTTGACCAGGGAGAAATGTCTCCAAAGGAATGGTTTCTCATCAAAGATTCAAAAAATACCTGTCATCAAAGTCCTGCATACAAGTTGTTCCAAGACCTGGTTCACTGAACATAGCACTTGTCATCTTGGACCCTGCCGCGGTGTGGGAATCGCTGTTACTGTAAGATAACCAATAGGACAAAACAAATTCATCTTTTCTTTCTTCCAAGTCTGCAATTTATTGATAAGACATAGACAGTGTAATAAGGAGAGACTTTAACTATTTTCTGAGGGTGTGTGGTTGATGTTGATTTGGTGTGTGTGGTTGATGTTGATTTGGTGTGTGTGGTTGATGTTGATTTGGTGTGTGTGGTTGATGTTGATTTGGTGTGTGTGGTTGATGTTGATTTGGCGTATGTGGTTGATGTTGATTTGGTAAGTGTGGTTGATGTTGATTCGGTGTATGTGGTTGATAATGATTTGGTTGGTCACTGTTTTTCCTATACTTAAGGTTGTAAATTTTGCAGTTGGCGGATAAAAAGGATAAAATGAAACAACTGCAGAATTTGTATATTTGTGAGGCCTACTCACACAAGCCAACGATGGATGCACTGTTGTTAACAAATTTGTCCGGCGCAAAATGTAGTTAACTTTCATCAAAATGTGCACAAAAGAGAGTGGGACTTGAGTAATAATAGACGATTCATGCTAGATGGGTGATTGACTTTTAGATTGTTATAACTTATGACACTGTGATCATAGTTTCGTTGTATCAAACTGGTTCCGAAATAGACATTTTCAGCTTTCTTACCTGAAGAAGACATAGTCACCAGGGCCGTACAGCGAGGGGGCAAAGTGAAGTGATGGGTTGGCCTCACCGCTGCTCAGGGTACCAAAGACCACGGCCAAAAGCAGCATCAGCATTGGCATGAGAAGGGCCCAGATGAAACCCCACCAATCACGCTTGGTGTAGTGGAACCGCTTGAGGAGGATGGCCAAAAACTGACGTAGGGCTGAGAAAAGAAACAGCGGAATCCAGTTAACAATAAAGAGTGGCCAACATTTTAGTAAATACTTTGCCAAGCAACTTTGACTCCAATTTAGAATCACTGTGTCTGACAGATTACTGAAATGATCAGAAAGAAACTAACTGGATGGCTGCATGTCATATCTAACACTGGTCCTCTTCACGGTAGAATCAGGAATTATCTTGGTCTTATCTTTGCTTCCATCAGGTTGATCTCCTTCCGGGCTTGAAACATTCAGGAAAACCTAAGAAAAACACACAGAACCCACACATTCACTAAACCAACCTCGCACAAAATGATTCCATAATTTCTAAGTTGTAAGGTCACTGGATGTATTTCTGTGTATCACATTTGCACTAGTCCAAATTGTATGAGACGGTTCCATTGCATTGTTTCAGATTGACTAAGCCTATGACAAAGCCCTGCAAGACCACAGTTTCAAATCACAGTTGCAGCATTTGTAGGGTTCACCAGATTGTCTTGAAAATAAAGGGTATGAAGGGATAGAAATTACCTCTTCAAGTGTCGCATCCGAGAGTCCGTAACTTGAGGCATGTAATTCTGGCAGCTTGGTGTCCAGCTCATTAAAGAGCGACTGGAACTTTGCAGTCTGGCCAGAACTGACCGGTAGGGTAAAGGACACTTCGGTGCCAACATCCTCTTTGAAGATGGCTGTTGGGACGTGGGTCTGGATCAGGGAGGTCATCTAGGAGGTCAAAGGTCAAGTGGTATTAATACCCCAAGATTCTAAACATCAGAGCACATGATTTGCAAAGGTTAAGAAACACACCAAGCACGTCAACAAGAAAAAATCAAAGACCTTGAACAAAACACCTGGTGACATTTTTCTGTTTAGCGTATTCAAAAACTATGCCTACAGGTTGTTCAGAGTTTGTGCAATAACATTGGCAGAACAACTAACCTTGGGAAGGTTGAATGATTCTCCACATGACGACACACCACTGGAAGAGCTGGTACTTGCAAGATCTTCACCTGCTTCTGACTTCTTCAGGTCAGTCATTTCGATGTAGACATTCTCCACGGCCCTGTTCCGATTGAGGTCTTCTCTTCCTTGGGCACCATTCCTTGCCTTTGGCTTGGTCTCTGGGGTGGATTGGTTGCTGGCTAACTGCTTGGCAATGGTCAACGTGTAGCCCTTGGTGAAGCGGGCCTTCAGAAAGGCGGAGGAGCCGCAGCAGCGGAGCTGGCCTTCGTCCAGAATGGCGATGCGGTCCCCAAGGAGATCGGCCTCATCCATGAAGTGGGTACACAGGAGAATGGTTCGACCTAAAGTGTGAATATTCATGAGGCTGCTTCATGCATTCTGATTGGTTGGCATGGACATATTTTTACAGTGTTAAAATCATGGGTGTGGTTAAGACTTGGGGAAATACAATGGGCTATTTTACTGTTAGAATGATGGCTGTGTTCTCCAAGTGAGATTTTGAGGAGTCTAAATGTTGTAGAAGAAATTGGACATATCTGCCATGGTATACCTCTCTTGTTCTTGCTGATAAGGTCCCAGATGGAGCGACGGGCGTGTGGATCTACTCCGCTGGTTGGTTCATCCAGGATGACGATGTTGGACCCTCCCAGAAATGCGATAATAACTGACAGCTTCCTCTTCATACCTCCAGAGAGATTGCAGACCTTCTCGTTGGCAGCATCAGTCAGACCCACATCATTGATGAGACTGCCATGGCAACAAATATATAACTGTATTAGGCCTTGAAAGTGGGCAGAGATGTACAATGCATGTTGGGACATGGTTAGATTCAAATATAATGTGGCCATGGTGGTCAAAGATGAAAAAAAGTTCTGTTTCTCCAATGTGATCCCTTTGGCAACACGGTTACAACAATAGCCAATGGTGTCAAAAATATCATTTCGCTTGTATAAGCACAAGATCTTAGTTAAAAAGTTTCATTGAGTAGCAAGCACTTACTCTTCCGACTGATGGAAGATATCTTTGAGAGGCATTCCTTTCAATCGACCGTACATCTCCATATGCTCCCGTACGGTCAACCTGAGAGAAGCAAAAACAAAAGATCATTGGAACCTTAAATGGAAAATGGTCCCCGAATGAGCTTTTGGCAAAAAAATTTCCTGATCGTCTATCTGCAACAACTGCATATCAGCCCGAATATCTCCACATCAAATTAACAAAAAGTAACAAGAAAAACTGAATAATCTACATCTATTATGTCGAATGGGAATAGCAAACAAAAAACCTGGCTCACCAATTTTACAATTCTTAATAGGAAGCAGATGAGTACCAGTCACAGACGGCAGGCATCACATGAAATATCAGCTGGTATTAACCGAGTTTGAATTGTACAGTACTATTAAGCAAATGTTGATTCTTAGTTGGGGGAACTATGGAGACACTTACTGGTCATAGAGTGCATTGTGCTGGGGACAGAGTCCAAGCTCTTTGCGAACACTGTGAAGTCGCTTCCTAACATCCTTGCCGTAGATGAATACCTCACCTGACGTGGCTGGGAACAGTCCCATGATGATGGAGCTGTGAAACAGAATGAGGATATTAAGCCACTTTAGCATTCTGGAAGTCACAAGAAATCATCTTTGATGTTCATCATTCAACAATAAAATAGTTTTCATTCTTTTAGTGAGAAAAGGTCGTAACTACCCAAACGGTTATCAGAAAAGACTTTCCTAGATTTGTAAAGATTCTTGAAAGAAACAGTGGAAATGGAAAGTTTCTGATGGAAACGTATCATGGATTTCAGTGAAGAAAAATGAATTGCACCAAGATTCCATCTATTATTAGGATTCAAGCAGGGAGTTTTACTTACATAGTGGTGGTTTTCCCAGCACCATTTCGACCCAGAAAGGATGTGATTTGGTCTTCATAGAAGTTGAGGGTTAGATCATCGACGGCTGTCTTCTTCTGACTGTACTTCTTGGTGAGACCGATGATCGAGATACCACAAGGAACATTCGTTGGTTCCATTTCCACATCTGGATCTGTCAAAATATCACAGACAAGAGGTGAAGATTACAGCATCTGGTGGCAATCCGCCCTCAAATGTGATGAAAATTGAAGTTATACAGTTTACTACTAGTATTGTTATCTGGGACTGCAATGGGTATTTTACTTACTGTAGTCTTCACTCACAATATCTTTACCCCAAGAGTGACAAAGACACACATGCGACAGACTTTCAAAGGCCCCTTCTGATGCATGCCTGGTGCCCACGCAAGACACATTTGTATGCATTCCAAAGAAAATTAGTAATGTGTAATGACATAGAGCCTGCTCAAACAAGTGATTACACACAGTGTGTCTCCCACACTGGAGCTGTAAAGAGCAACCATGGCCAACATGGAATGGGCGGTACATACTTTAGTGCTCATTCTGACGAAAATTCCATCTAGTATACATTTCACAGTGTGGTCGACCTGCATACAAAACCAGGCTCTTCTTTTGGACTGCACTTTCAAACTAGTTTTCCTTTTTTTCTTGTACTTACTTTTGTTGCTGCCACCAGCGTAGGTCTGGCCTCTGCTAAAGTCTGACCTGGGACTGAAACAGCTCAGCCAATAGCGAGGTGTGAAGATGAAATACCATGGTTTGGGTACTCCATGACGTCCTGCAAACGTAAACAAGAGATGGGGAAAAATACATAGGCATGAACAAGTAAACAATATTTGTATTACTGCTGTCCTAGCATACAGGACATTTTCACACCTTCAGACCAGTACATTTTCCAAAAATTCCCAGAACAAATATCTTTGAATTAGCAAATCAAATGTACAAGGAGAGTTTGAAATACAAAAAATACATGCAAAAAGACAGGCCAACATAGAATAATTTCCATGACTCACAGCGTGACATCTCTACACTTGAAAATTCAGGTGCAGGGTCTGAGCTTACTGGACTAATTCTGGCAAAGATGGCCTGAATCTGAGATTTTGCAAATGGTTTTGGTCTGACCTGGGAAGACAGAGCTGATGTACAAGGCGAGGAGGTAATAGATCAAGCCATCCCACAGCATGGCGACACACTTCCAGTTGAAACCAAAGACGTCAACCTGATGGAAGCCCTGGGCAAAGGCATCCCACTGGACACCAACGGTTTGAGCCTCCTTTATGGCCAACTCATTACAGCTGATGGTGAAGGCACAGGTGGAGATCAACGACTGGAAAAAGACCACAGAAAATAGATATGAAATAAGACCAATATGGGATGCACTCTCACTTCTTGGCCATTTCTACTTTGACCAGAAACTTTTCTAAATCCTGTTGAATCTCCCACTGTCAATAAACACCAATGGCACTTTCTTTGCACTTTGATTTTCAAGCGGCATCAAGCCCGGTGTAGAAGAAAAAATGGCTGGGGTCTACCTTCCTTGACCCAACAAAATCCTTCAAAACCTCTAGGTGGATTTTGACAGTTTTGGGATACAGTAGGGTTAAGAAGGCATTCTGATAGAAAACAAAATGGTATAAAATCATAGCATTATGCCCAAACTTTAATACCAGAACTAAACACTGTATGTGTACTGAAGCACTCACCCCCCAAATTAATGGGTAACATCAGGTGGAATCTTGTCAGATTTTGCATGATTTAACTTTGAAAAATGTAGCTGTAGGAGAGAAATTTAGTTCCTCGACAGGAGAAAGAAGAATACTTACGAACGCAAAAGTTTGGCCGAAAGTTCCAATATTCTGTTGCAAGATGGCGTAGGGTATGTACGGCACGTAGGTTATTGTAAAGATCAAGACAGAGGCAAAGGCCGCTATGTGAGCTTTCTGGAAGAAGGTGCTGATCAAAAAGCTAAAAAAAGGGGAGAAAATATCGATGGATTATGTGGCAAGGTCATTTAACGTTATCAACACTTGTAAGGTTCAAAGAGTTTAATAGAAGGCTTAAATATCACTCGCCCGGCCAAAATGTAAACACAATTTTCAGTTCAAAAAACCTTCACGTCTTCAAAGGTCTTGAATGTTGTAACTTGAAAAGAATTTCATGGCTCTGTATTAAAAAAAGCAATGTATTAAAAAAATCACCATCATACGATTAAACCGAATAGAAATCCTTTTGGCTAAGAATTCTTGCTATGTAAAATGGTGCATCAGCTGAAGCCGAAATTCAACACTGATCCACTGAACAACGTTGCCCGTTAGCACATATTCATAAAGCCGTTGGACAATTCTTGTTTGAGGGGAGAAGAGCCATGATGCTGAGTCCATTATTTTGTGAAAGTAACGTCAGTGATCAAGAATATAAAAAAATTAAGAACATAAGAGTAGTGTATACATCAAATACCTCATCATGATGACCGAAAAGGAGAAACACATCAGGAAGAAAAAGACCAGAAACCAATCAGACGAGGGCAGGATGTTGCCGACCTTGAGAATCAGCACCATGATGGCGCACACTATCGTCATGAGAACGAGGTTGTTCAGGAACCAGGAGAAGAGGTTGACACCACCTCGCAGGCCCATCGCCTTCATTAGCTGTTTGGAAAAGACACGGCAGAGGTCAACGGGGTGAAGTTGTGGCACATTTTCACCTCTGTGACTCAAGTTTGAATCCAAGTCCATCCATACCTCACATTTTAACATTTAAGTCAAAAGTTATTTGTTATCTTAAAGATGTCCTTTGGTTTCGGCACAAGTAAACTAGTTAAATTGTTGCTTTTTCTTTCCCACACAAAGAGAATATTCTCCACTTTTACGGCTTGTGGAAGATTCTCGAAACAGTTTGTACCCCTTGCTGTGCACCTATTATTACATTTATGACTTTAGTTCAGTACCAACCTCTTCGATTCCGAGTTCCTTCTCATAAACCAGTTGATGTGTCATTGTACCAACAGCTCCAATGAAGACAAAGAACAGTACCACAGGCAGCAAGTAACTAACTCGCTCTACAAACCTGGTCAAAGAAACAACAAACGTCTGTTTAAAGCTGTTTGTCTGAAAATAAATCTGTGAAATTGCTGTATTCTGCACTTGCATACTTGATTATGAGATCAAAATCAAAATCACTCCTTTAAAGGCTTCCGAGAAATCTAAATTTGAATATCAGCCATGAACTCGGCCACAATCTCTAGCAATGGTGTGTAGGTTGAACTAGAAATTTGTCTGACTTTGAAAGGCATAAAAGGCATTTCTAACTAGCTAGTGGCTTCAACACCTCCTCATAAACATGCGTTAATACAAACCAAAGCCAGGACATTAAGACAGCCGCAGTCTGATAGACCGACTGAGCCAACTCACTTGTCAACAACATGGCACGGATAGGGCATGAGCTGTAGGTAAACGGAAGGCTTCTCCGTATTGTTGCCAGTCTGCGATTGGATAATTCCCTTCTCAATGATGTCTTGCACGACGACAAACCCACGTGTGTACACCTGATTGATCAGTTCGTTATTGGCACCAGCAGTCCAATCTCTATGGAAACAAAACAATGTGACATTGTCAAAAATGCGGTCCCTTTTCCAGGGGCATGGCCAATCTCACGTCAGATAAAAATCAAGCCATCTTTAAATTTGGGCAGAGTGGACATAACTAGGGACTCTCTTAAAAGCTTGAGAACCTGCTTCTCAGTTTGAGAATGCAAGTTTATAGACAAATTTTGCCTTGACGGCATCTTGGGGGGGGTTGGAATCATAATGTCTTTGTACTTGTCTCTGAGTCGGTTGGTGTCTGCTGTGTTTTCCACATCCATACGTATCTTGTAGTGTACGTGTGGAGGTAGGGTGTCATCACGCACATTGCTAAAATACACGGCTGCAAACGGAATATGATGAAAAATATCCATTAGAATAATCACAATAATTTTTAACACTCTTAATTTAAAATGTTTATTCATTTCCTTTGAGATCTACTCCAAGTTATCGTTTTTTTCAGTGAGTTATGATTTGTCATAATTTCACTCAATTTTAATACTAAATCATGAAGTATTATATCAGCAAAATATTTGACTTGTTCATTCCGTTTTTGTGTAAAACCTTGTTTTAAATTTGGCAAATTGCCAGCAAATGACACCTATGCAATGAACCACTTGGCTGCATCTAATTCAGTGGAGTGCTTAAATTTTGAACTGTATTTGAGTATAAATTAACGAGTACAAGAAAATGTTTACAAGTGTGAATATTCCAACATTTATTTTTTTTTTTTCAATTTCATTTATTCCGAAGCGCCACATGAGAAATTATTTCCAATCAGGTGAGGAAAAAAGTACTACAATATGAAAGCCGGTGCTACAAAGAACTAAAGTAAAAGTCAAGTACCAGCGAGGAGTAAATTGTCTCTGCTAAATCTTTCAGCTTTGGTTTCCATGATGCCTTGTGTCTTGGATGGGACAAATCGGTCCAGTTCCACACAGGCGGTCAGATTGACCACCAGCTGGGCCATTTGGTTCAGTTGGTCAAGGTCATCGGTGGAGATGCTAGAAAGATCGCTGGTCAGTAGAGAGGCCAGGAGGTCACCATCCAATCCTAGCTGGCTCTGCAGGATCTCTCGGGTGTAGGAGTTGGACAGGAAGTCCTGACGGACGCGAACAAGGAATAATTTACTCAAACAGAATTGGGAAACACGGTGTAAAAAAGGAGTGACCAATAGCATCATAATGTCAAATCATGAATATGTACGCAGATGAAAACTGCCTGAAATTCAATATAGGAAAGAAAAACGAGAAAAAACAGAAGTCAGAAAAATCTGAAAAATACAAACAGCTGTTCAATAATGGTAATGAGTGTGGATTCAACAGATAAAAGTATCTGCTGAAATGTAATTTTCTGATCTGAGTCACTTGAAACTGACCTAACTGTTTCTACTTTACCTGGATAAGGCTCAACTGTTTGCTGTCTATCAGATTAATGAGATCATTAGAGCCGGCCAGCCAAGCCGTAGCCACATCCCGGATTGTGGCAATCTCCTCAAAGAAGAAGTTCGACTAAAAACAGAAAATACCACAATGTGTCAGTTGAGACCAGAAGATGGCAGGATGATCTTTGGAAAGGCATTATACAACTGGAAAACCTGCAAAGTCATGAACTTGTCTTGCTTTATGCCACACCAACTTCTACATTGTGGCTATCCAAACCTAAATGATTCATCCAAGGCTTTAAATCATTGTAGCTACCAGTAACAATATGAACATATCTGTACAACTACTGTTATCCAAGCCGTGTTTTGTTGCTATCACAGAAACTTGTAGACCTGTAACATAACAGGCTTTTTACAATGCATAATTTTGCCTGAGCAAGATTCAGAAGATGGACCCTGCTAGCAAGACAAAGACAGCAGCAGTCCATTAATTCCTGAATCTATTTTCCAGCCAGAAAATTTTTTAATAATCCAGTTTTGTTCGATTTTGAAACCTCTTTGGTATTCACAGGAATGATAATTACAGTCAACTAAATTTATAACTCCTATCAAAATAACAATTGAATTAATCAAACATGCAAATGTATTGATTGGTTATTGATGATTCCTACCTCCTTGATGATTTTTGCTGTAGCAGCATTGATGGGTGCATACGGAATCTTGCCCAGTAGAATCGGCTTGATGTAACGCCATGCAAGGCGACCATCATAACCCTCTTGGATAGCATTGTAGAGGGAACTACAAAACGGTGCTAAACCAAACCAAACGTATATGTATCGCTTAAAACTTGTGAAAGACTATAGTAAGTGGGGTACCATGTGTCACCTGGGTGCTTTTTGTTTCCTATTTGATTCACTGTGACTCTACAACTTCACCAACTACACCTTAAGAGCAGCCTTAGTCCCGGTAGGTGCCCCTATCAAGGTGCCATGTGTTTTTCTCGAGTGCACCTTATGTGCCATTGGCCCAAAAGTGCCTCACCTTAGGTACCACACACAATCATAGGCATTATCAATGTCAGTATGACAGTGTAGCAGGTGCACCTATATGAAGGAGCCATGTATGTCCTTGACTGCACCTTGAGCGCCATAGGCCTGAACTCCTTCCCCTTTAGTACCACACATCTCCATAGGCATTATAACTGTCATAGTATAACATAATACGTCCCAGAAGGGGCACTTATTAAAGGTGCCATGTATGCCCTTGACGGCACCTTATGGGTGACATAGGCCCAAACTCTTTCACCGGTGGTACTACACATCTCCATAGGCATTATCACCGTCACAGTATGAATATGTAGACTTTATCCTGATTGGTTTGACTAAACACTTGGGGTTAAAAGTCATATGGAAACGCAACACCTACACTATCAATTGTAACAGAACATTAAAGTTAATGAGAACACAATGAAACTTACTGCTGCCAGGTACTACATCAAGTTCCTCCTCCCGTCTCTTTCGACTCCGCCCAGCGTCCCGCTTCCTCCTACTGAACAAGTTCATAATGTCTGATGAGAGTAATTCCAACAAGGCTTCATTACCACAAACCGTCTCCAACAGCAGAGTGGTGGAGGAGACCTGAGCCGCCGAGTTGCCCAGGAGGGAATCAGTAATGTCTCCGATGGCCAGGGAGCTTAAGTTGAGGGCTTGGAACTCCACCTGAAGGGACTGGAAGGAGTTGCCGATGTTGGTCAGGTCAGTTGCTGTGTTGGACAGCTCGTCGAAAGTGGATGTGGCGTTGCTGAACCTCTCACGGATGGTGTATGTCAACAGCTGAAGGGAAAACAAAATGTTGTGAGCGGTAACTTTGAGAGCTTCACAGTGGGTACCTGGTCAGGGAATTGGCTTGGTGAATGAACAAGCACGGGTGCATGCCATCCCTCATTCACTTAACAAACGTCTACGAGGGATGGTATGTAGACTGTTCCCCCTCCCTCCATTGTCATTCTCTGCATGGTGCTGGAGATGGAAACCAGGCAGTCAACCCAGCCTTGAGGTAGTTCACTAGCGAGGTCGTATTCAAGCAAGTTACCAACAAAACTTATCATAGATGTGTCACTGTATACACGGGCATGCACAATTACAGTCAAGGTTTTCTCACACTTTGACATTGATTCTTGCTGACGCTATGATCTTTGTTCTGGGAATTTGAATCAATGAAACTTCATTTGCTGTGTGATGACAGTTAGTTAACCTTCATTTTTGACCAATGGTAAACACTTTCAAGAGACTTCAAAACCTAAGCCAAAGACAATGCCGTATTTGTAATGGCTTATGTCACGGTCTGGATCCCTGTCTCTACAGCACAGTTTTCATACCTCTTCCACAACAGCACCAATGTTCAGCCTGCTGATCATGCCATCCAAGACCACTGTCAGCTGCTGTGAATCAAGCCGGCACAGAGACTGCAGGACACCAGTGACGTTGGTACCCTTCGGGAACTCAATGAGCTTGGTCAGTTCGACCTCGCTGCAGGTGACGGTCCTTATAGTTGTAAAATTGAATGACGCTGCCTGTTGGAAGAATGAAAAAGTTGGTAATATTTGTAATAACGGTAAAGCTAGTCCTATTCATTTGACGCTGGTGCAATTTAAAGGCATGGATGTACATGCAAAGCTTATTTTCTTCAGCGAAACTTTTCAGCTGGTTTGCTACTCACTACTTCCAAGCTCAATGAGGCTGACAGCAAATCCAACGCTGCCTCGTCCGAGAAGCCTAAGTCCATGACCAGAAACTCCTGGAAGTCTGCTAGGTCCTTGAAGAGTTTGCTGAGGGAGAGATCTGGCGATGGAACAACAACGACTGAGATTACAAAGGAAGATGATATGCCTGCTGATCAGGGGTAGCAATATTTTGATGTAATGATGCCCAAAAAAGTCTAAGACAGGGTGAATACCAGCTGAATTTTGACATGGTCATTGTGTAACTACATCAAAAAAGCAATGAATAACAGCGGAGGAGAGATGAAAAATCTAGCTCAGAAATTTGTGTTATCACATGTGATTGGAGAAATTTGGGGATGCTTTACCAGGCAACTTGCCGATGAGGTCTAACAACCCGTTGAAGCCATTGAGAGAGTCGAAGAGTTTCACTAATGACTGGAAGGTTGGGTCGTTCTCTAACGCCGGCCGCAAAACATCAAGCACAGATTGCAAGCTAATTGGATGAGAATATACACAAACATTGACAATATTTCAATGGCGTACTTGCCACTGAATATGTGTGCAAGGCCAAAGAATCTTCAGATTGACTCTGAGATTTTATGATGGACTCTGTGATGGATTATTGTAGGTATTTCTCTCCTGTGACCCATGAGGTATTGAGAACAACTTCAACTGACAGTTTAAACAAGTGTTTTGATTATTCTTGATAAAACTCTTTTGAAGTTTGTGAAAATTCTCCTAATGCAGAGCAAAGCACACTGTTCACCAATGTCAAGTTAAGCAGTTTTTCAGCTGTAGTTATGTTGTCAGAAAAGTGACACACCTTCATCTTGCTGGAGCCAATTTTTCAACCTATACAATATCTATTGTGAGGACTGCATCAATATGTGACTGCCACTGTGGGAGCGGCAACTATAGAGATTGTGCATTGCAACCACCTTTCCTGTGACTGCTTTGAAGGGGAAGCACGTGTATCCCAGTGGAACTAAAGCTCTTTGCTGGATTAATGGCTACCATGCACAATCTTGATTGCAAAGATGCCCATGTATTCAGCAGCAGATTTCCCACATTATAGATCACCCCCCATGATAAATATTTGACATACCTATTTGCAATCTGAATCAAGTCTTCTGCGCTCATAGCAAGCTTGACAATGTCTGTAGTATTTGTCAGTCCATTGACCAGTGATGGCCACTGGTCAGTCACAAAGCGCTCGACAAGGGCTGGGTCTAGAGCCGATAGATCCTCCAGGGCTAATAACAGTTGGTTCAAGTACTCTGGGAGGGTCACCACCATCGGTGAGGTCATGGTTATCTGATTGCATGGATGAAAAAGAGTGCCTCCATTATCAACTGTCTGAAAATTGGCAACAAAGGAACAACAATACGAGGGCGCATCACACCAATGTTACACCATGTGGTCTTGCCGAGGTGTACATGTTTCAAGCAAAATGCATGCACATTTTGTACTCATTAACTGAAAAGTCAGTTCAACACCCTGAAGCTTGGTGGGGGAGGTGTGTCCCTCTACCAAAAAGTGGGAGGCTACTTCCCCCCAACCCTCGATCTTATCAACATCACAGCTCAACACTCACTGCCCTGACGAGCTCGGTGATGTTGAGGGACCCTTCCAAGAAGCTCAGGACATCCGTGCTGTTGAGAGATTTACAGACTAACATCTGCACTTCAGACATGATGGCTGTATTGTTGAACACAAACAACTTGGAGAACAACGCATCATCCATACACAGCTGGTCTTGGATGCTACCCTGGAGTTCTGAAAGCTGAAAAGGGAAAGTTGTAGACGGGTATTCAATTCATACCAAGGGTCAAAAAAGTCTCTTAATTAAACTATGCTCTACCTCTTCACTTGAAAAATCTGTTTCCAGTCTCAAACACTATTAGAAAGTTCCAATTGGTTCATACTTACAGCAGAAATGTTAACTTTGTTATTGATGATGGCATCAATGATATCTGGGCTGAATCCTTCTATCACCTTCAAGTAATCCCTCACAACAGAGGTGTTACTCCACAAAGAACTCAACTCCACAAAGCCTGTCTGATCTGTGGAGGAAGAAGAGATTTAAAGCTGTTACTTCTATGGAAACCAATGAGTTCAGAGCACGGAAGAGGGTGCTGTCTAGACTTTAAGAACTTACCTAATTGGGATATCAGATATGTGTCTATCAACTCAAAGAATGGTAGCAGGGCATTCAGATTTGTTGTGTTGCCCTGCAGACTGTTGCTAAGTAGAGGACCAATCAGAGGTTGCACAAGATGGTACAGCTCAGTCAGACTATTTTTAGAAAAGAAAACAATGGATAAACATGTTTTTCAACGCACCAGATTTTTTCTCTGCATTAATTAACAATTTATTGAGCTGGTGACAGTCGCATTAAAAATTTAAAGAACCTGCGCCGAGTAATTAAAAAGTACAAAGGTCACATGACATGAGCAGTTGACTTCTTTTCCAGCCTACCTCTGCATGTCTGCTGTTGTGGTATTTGCAACAATCACAGGCAGTAATTCAAACAGATCAAAATACTCTGGCCGTTGGAATGAGTTGAAGAAGTTAAAGTACTCTGACGGCAGTGTCCACATCCTTTCCATGAAATTCTGACTATCAATGACAAATGCTGGGCAGTCGAAGGGCTCTGAGGTTGCAGGATTGGTATCAAATATGGCAACAATCTGTAATAAAATTGGAAACAGAAAACACTTTTGCATGGATTTGCCACATTCAATAGTATTTATACAAGTTTATGACACTTCATCTGATAAGTTTGTCTTGACCAAATATGACACTGTACCTTGGGCAAGATGTTGTCAAATCCCACAATCCTCATGACTTCCTGCATGGCGTGTGTTTGTATGAGTTTGTCTACTCCACACAGCAGTCTGCTCAGGTGGGTTGCATTGACGTTATTCGGAATGCCATTGACCAGTTTAAGGGTGTACTCATCACAGACCACTCCCCCAGAAATCTCCCCTTTCAGGAGGCTGATGGTGAGGGGACCAGCCTACAGAAAGAACATATGACATAAAATCTCTCCATGTCGACAATGTGTTGATGGCTGTGGTGTTTTTGTTACCAATCATATAAAAATGAATTTGACAATATTCCTCACTAATAATCTTGGGTTAAAATTCAGGTCAAAGAAAGTCTGCGATATGAAACAATCTTTGTACACTGACACAAAACTGGCAAATTTCACTGTGATTTAAAAGAAAAAGCGAAAAAAAATGATTAGAACACTGCCAAGTAAGTTACTGGCAAAAAGCGCCTCAATTGTTCAGGTATAGGGGATGCATGATTCTTACCCGTGGCAGTAGGTCAGGGTCAAAGAGAACGGCAGAGCCAGACTGAATGACATCGCGCTCCACCATTGAGAAGACAGAGAACATCTCTACGACAGTTGTCATGTTGTTGACAAGCATCTGGAACTCTTCTTGGTGACCTGAAAAACCGAAACAGACCTAGCATTAACAAATTTTACAACCTCCTGTGAAAGGGAGAAAATACGGGTAAAAAGGTGAGCACGGCTTAAACTGTGAGTTCTGCAATCATTTTCTGATTCAATGGGCAAAGAGAACTTTTCTCTTTTTTTCCCTTTGATTGAGTTTTACGCAAGAGTAGAAATCTTTTCCGAGAATACTGTCCTAATAACTAATGGGATTTCACAGCACAAGTCGTCTACTGCTCATTACTCTATGTTGTTGATGGCCCATACTTGGGTACCACTTACTTGGTAGGGTGAAGACTATGTCTTGCATGAACTCCATGGCGAGGTGGGTTGAAGTTAAGGCTGGGCTTAACATCATCTGCCAAACTGTGGTGTTCAGGAGGTCAGGGGTCAATGACTGACACACACTGGTGAAGTCGGGGCTGCAACGTGAGATTTGAAGAGAGTCGGTGAGATATGGAGAGAACTGGTAAAATTTGGTGATATACAGAGAGAATCAGCTAGATTTGAAAAGAGCCAGGGAAATTTGGATAGAAATAGGGAAATTTGGATAGAATTGGGAAGATCTAGAGAGAGGTGAAAACAAATAACAGAGACCTCAGAGTTGGATAAACTTGAAATTCTTCACTTAGGAGATGTTGTGCCAAAGATTTTGGTGTCAATATTCTTTGACCATCTTTAATCTGTCACATTTAATACATCCTGGTAATTTTAAGGTAAAGGTGCCGTAAACAATTCAGACTATTAAACTTTGATGGGAGATGGTCAAAACAAAATGTACTTAAGTTGAATTGAATTTGAATTGGCTTCAACATTCATCAGCTTACGTCATATTCATCCACATCGGAGGCAGATTTGCGATGGGTGCAGACATAGCCATCCACTGAGTGAAGAAATCCCCAAGGAAGTCTTGTCTCATGGACAGGGAGAGAAGGTTGTTGACGAGATGCTCAAACTCTTGGATGGACTGTTGCCAGTCTATATCCGTGAGGCTCCCAAGGGTCGTGCTGTTTATGATGATCTTCTCAATCTGGAAGTGAGTTGATGTCAAATTGTTGTTGAAGAATTTTAGTTCGCAAACAGAACATAGCAATAGCATTTCCAAAATTCAGGATGTGAAAAATATTACATCACTGTTTTCAATTACTTGTTAAGGGAATGTCTCAAAAGTCAAATGTTCCTGTTCACAATTAGACTATGCAATATTCTTGTTAGAACATTCAATCTCATTCCAACTTCTGAGATATTCCCTTAGACTGAGTATGGCAATTATATAAACTGTAATTCGAATCCAACAGGTTTTGAGAGGAGACTTGGGAGGAATTTTAAAGTATTTATGGATAGCTGAACTTCTAGTCTTAATTCATAATGCATTAATTTAATGGCTATTTGTTGTGACTATGTCTACCCCTCCACTCCCTCTTGTTCCCTTTAGCCCCGCCCCCAACTGAAGTCATATCATGTCATCTATGTACTAGACACAGACTGTAGGTGGCATTTAGCATTCTACATCTGAACCATGGAAAACACTGGATTACGACTGCATGCATGTATGCATGCATGTATGGAAAATTTTCAAAAGAATGTGCACAATTTTTTTTTTCCTTGGGGTGAATGGCTAAGGCTGTGTTTTTTTTTTAACACAGATGCACAATGGTGCATAGCCACAGCAATAATGGCAATGCCTGTCTCACCTCCTTCTGAATATGAGCAACATTGAAGACGGCCGTCAGATTGCTGAGGAAGGTTTGGTCGCTTTGGGCTAGGCCACAAAGGGCAGTCTGTAGGGCACCAGAGTTGGTGCCTGGCGGCAGGAAGATGAAGGAGTTGAACAGGGCTGGTTCACAGAGGATAGACATCAACAATTCAGGTTGGGTCAGAGTACCAAGCTGTTGAAATGAACAAAAGATAAACTGTCCTCAATTGAGAGACAATTTTTTTTTATAATTTTGTTTAATATTTAAGTTGGAGTGACACAAATTGATTCAAGTATATCCAGCCACACTGTAGCTCAAATTTCCTTAGGACAGGGAAATATTGGCAGTTTCTAAATATTTAAAGCTTCTCAAGATTTGTATCTTGAGAAGGACCGTTTTGATAAATACCTGTTGACAGTCACAGTTCGGTTGATCAATAGGAATATTTAATATCAAATTTTTTATCACGCTCTGCACTTCCTGAATAGAAAGTGATCAAAAGGTGTGAAAGTTCATTCACTCCTGAGCAAAAGGCCCCCTGATTACCATCTAAAAGCCACAGATTTGAAAAAATTAACTACATTACCAATCCAGGGTTGATGGTTGCTGTCAGAAGTGCTTGTACATGTTCCGGGGCCAGATACTGGGCAAGGACTTTCTGTGCATTTGGCACAAATATCCCTCCAATGGTGTAGTTGGATTCTAATATGGATAAAAACACAAATTACTAAGTGATACATGAACACCACTGTGTTACATTTCATCTTTGGATCTGTAAAACCTGCGGCCATTTTGAAGAGCTAAAGACATACATTTTTTTCACATGTATGTTATTCTTACCTGCCAGGTATTCCAGCTGCTGATTGAACAATTTTGCAATGTGTGTTGCCATGGCAACACCTCCCTGGATCTCCGACCACACTCCTCCCCGATTCATCAGGGTGTCAAGACGTTCCAAGATCTCAACCGAACTGTAGTGGGAAAACAAGTTTGCACTCCTGTCATAAATTCAATGTTCATACCAAATAAAAAAAAAACAAGTTGGCATATTTCTTTAAACTGTAACATTTCATTCACATAAGAGAGGTTCTCAAGTTAAAATTCATATAAACTCACAGTTTCAGATTAAATTGTGTCAAACCATCCATCAATTCCTGCAACAGAAGGGAGGCTTCGGTCATGTTGCCGTGGTTACCAGGGCCAGGCAATCCCGTGATGCCTTGTAGGGCGGCCATGATGGATTCCACTCTGTTAACCAGTCTGTCCCAGTCAAAGTCTTGCCCAGTGTTGTTTGAAGGTTGTAGGGCGTTCACCATTTCAAATATCTGCGAGATGCATAAATCATCATTTCAAGATCGAAGCAATAACTGGCTTCCACTAACTCTTCGATCTTTAATTAGTGACTTCTTATTTTCAACAACAAGAAAATGCTTTCTTTGAATTCTTCAGTATTCTCAAAATAATAACGGCGATTAAATCTGAATAACATGTCAAATAAAACAATAAATTTGTCACACTCATTTCTTTCAGTTTTGATTACAAGCTATGCCTGGTTCTATTTAATTCTACAAGGAGACATCAGATGCATTACATAATTAAATTCATGATTTTGGTTTTCACTCTGTGACATGTAGTGGCAATGTTAACAGCATGAAAACCCAGAGGTAAGATCTAACGGCTGATGCCAGACTTACAGATTGATGTAGTCCAAGCACATCCACCCCGGTGAAGTTATCTAGTGTTCCAAAGAAGTTAGCACGGTCCAAGTGACACAGCTCAAGTGCTATGGCTGTTAAATTCAAACCGGGCAGTTGCCAAAAAAAGTACTCCGGATGACAGAAGTAATCCCACTGATCGGAGAGATGATGATACGCCAACTGCACAAAAAAATAGCAGAACATTGCTGTGAATTCAAGTGAAAGACACAAGTTTTCGACAACAGCGTTCATGACACAAACAGGTGAATCATGGATGAAGGAAGTCTTCAAAGAGATTTAATTTGAATATGGCTTGACAGTAGGAAACTTTATACATTCACTTACCAAGGAGACTGGAAAGACCCCGTCTATTACGCTCTCCAGTGCTAAGTCAGGAGTTGCCGTGTTGAGGATTTCACTGAAGAACCTATCCAGTACAGTTCGGTTGTACAAAAATGCTGGAATGGCTTCACCTGCAGAATCGGCAAAAGTGATTGATTAAGTGATTAGAGTAGAGGGCTGCTATGGCAACCAATGAAATCAACTTTCCTATACATGCGTATCGACTGTACCGATAGAGAGCATCAACAGATTGGAAACCTCTGTTAACCAATGGAAAATGATTAACTCATTAATATGTAGTCTACTTTCATTTATATATATCTTTGACATTTGAAAACAATTTATGAATAAATTTGATATGCAAATTAGCTCATTTATATGTATAAGATGTAAACTTTTCAGAGGGATGTATGCATTCCAAATGAAATATTGGCTCATTAATCATTTAAAACATCTTCACATTTACTAGAAATGTATATGAATGTATAAACCCAAGCAGATCGGCTTATTTTTGAGAGATGCGAGCCACGCCCATACCTCCTGGGTGTAGATTTCTGTCAATTCCATCAAGGAGGTAGTTGGCAAAATCAAGGAAGGGCTTCACACTTTGCCAGAGATCCAACCTCTTCAGCTCTGCCTCTAACAATGGCAAACCATCTAATGGCATAGCACTATAAACACAAATTGAATGCAAGAAATCAGCTGTCAGGTTGCTAGAGTGCATTAACAATTGGAAATGCAACTTGTGTCTCTCTTAAACCTTAAAAGTAATTTTTATTTGGCTATTAAAAGGTACAGGTGCTTTTGCCAGTTTTACGCTAATGCATTTCCATATTCATGAGTAAAACGATGATGTCATCCAGTAAAAACACCTCAATGTTGAACTGATTATGCACAATAATTTACGGATGGAATTTTTTAATACGGGCATGACTTTCCTTTGCTGTGGCGACTGATTGTCAAAAAAAGGCACGACAATGAACTAAGGAGTGACCCTCTCTTGATAAGAAATATATTCATCACAGTAACAGCGCCTTCAGTTGTTCAGAAAAAAATGAACGATTCTATATGTTTAAAATGTACCACTTTTTAATAACACCTATAAACCAACAGGAATGTGAAATGGTTTTTGTACAAGACCAAGTGTAGAGTTGCACAAAAAGTGTTTGCGAAAAATCAGGGTTCCTGCACCTAAAAAACACTTATATTCCATGACTTTTCCATGACCAAATTATGAAAATTTACGACCAAATAATGCAGTTTATTGGACTATTCAGCCTTTTAGGTTGCAAATACAATTACACATTTTATGCATTTATTTCTAATAATAGAAATCGCAAAGTGTCACATAAAATTCCATGACTTTTCCACGACTTTCGTCATTTTTACAAAATTCCATGACTTTTCCAGGCCTGAAGAAAGAAAAACAAATTTCCATGACTTTTCAAGATTTTTCCAGGCCGCAGGAACCTTGAAAAATGCATCGACTGAAGCCTCTAATTTCCTTATTTCTGTCTTTGGTTGCCCAAACTGAAAGCAGAATATGCAGAGAATGCTTAGTACAAGCTGGTTACCAGCAAACAACATACATGTATACTGGTCATGACTGGTCTCCCACTGATCTCTGTAAATAACTAACTAGTAAGCAAAATCTGTATATAATCAAGCAAGGTTTTCTTGATATCCCTTCAATAGCATTTTTTTGCCCTTAAGACGAATTGACAACAAAATAAAATTTCAGCCAAGTTTTGGGGTCTGCTCCTCGTACCTATTGAGGACGTTGGTCAGGTTCAGGGAAGCGTAGAAAGCATCACGGATCTGGACAACAATCCGGTCATCTTGGAAATATGGTTGTATGTCTTCCAAGACTTGAATGAAGCTGGAAATCAGAAAAAAAAAACACATGATTTAATGTGATATGGAAGTAATTTGAATATTTCGGCCAAGTGCAATCACACAAACTCCTGTAAATAAACAAATAGTGGAGTTACCTTTGGGCAACCACAGAGACTATCGAGTACCTCCACGATAAACTCTCAATTTTTACTCACACTAATAACTTGGACCTACTTTTCTTGAGTGTTTAATAATGGCACATCATGCAAACATGAAGTGAATCTGAAATCAAAAATCCTTCACCAAAAATTACTGGCAATACTGAATACTTGGGCAGAGTCAATTTGAATAATTCACTATTCGAATATTCGACCTTTACTTTGATTGAATATCCAAATATTCGGTCGCACCGAGTGGTAGATTGTTGATGAACAAACCATATACAAAATCAGCTGCAATAACACACACAATTGTACATTATGATCAATATAATAACTTCTCACATCTAAGAGTATGTCCAGCCACGATTTTGCAAGAATTAAGAGATGAACAAGACTTCTTGCCCCATTGAAAATTTCTACTCCTTTTAAATTATTTAATGATTAATTTACTTTTTAAATCATTGTAAGATTTCTGATGCTTTTCATTTGAATCTGCTTAAAACAAGCCTCCATAGTGCAATTTTTCTCAATGAAAAAAAAGACAATATTCCCTTCCTTTTCATGAATTTTGCATTCGAATATTCAAATTCGGTTATTCTGATATTTGGCTACTGAATATTTTCCCTAATGCCACAAATTTACATTCCAATTGCCAGTCCACACCATGGATGACAGCCGCAGTCTATGTTCATATCGACTCACATCATTAGATTCTGGTCAGCCTGGCTATTCAACACTTCCAGCAGAAGTGTCAGGTTATGGAGGGCGTCTCCGTGCACGGAGATAGGGATGTGTTGCAACTCAGTCATCAAGGTCATTAGCTCCTGAATGTACCGCTCAATACGCGCCCAATCAAAGTTGGTCATCGGTCCACTGGAAAAGCCAAATATAATCGCCATCTGCAAAATGAAGCAGAACGTTAGATATGTTCTGTCTACGTAATCCCAGCTTCCTACTTTGAACACTTTTGACATTTTACGGACTTGAATTCACCTCTAAACTGTGCTGGGTTAAGACTGTGCCATGAAAGCTATATGAATGCTACCATTGAATTTCAATCATGAATACCTAAGACCGTTTCCCTCTTCAATAATACACAATGTGACCGAGTATTAACATTTGATAATGCCCGCTGTGATTTGATGATGCCTGCTGGCGCCTGGATAAAAGACAGTTTATTCCATTCCTATTGGTCAAGATTCTGTGCACCTGAACTCACCACACACATGCTACGTCCATATAAAGAGATTCTTCTAGGCCACTTGTATAAGGAATATACCATTAAATGGACGGGGTGTCCGGGAAAATGAAAGTAAAATTCTTGAACAAAATCCTGATGCCCTTGCCTGCGGATTGGGCAGTAATTGCGTCCATTCTCCTGAGCCGGTCTTAAATGCACGTTTAACTTGCCAGGCACATATCTACTCCCTTTATAATTGCTGTGTAATAAACCAAGGATTTCTAAAAGTCAAGAATAGTGCCGACATTCTGAAGACTCGGCAAACTGTGGTACAAAGAAACATTGACCTATACTCATAATGGAAACTCTGCATAATCAGACAGTAACATCTTCCACGTTTCTTGGGTATTGGAACCTTGGGTCAAAGGTCAGCTCACCTGTTGTTGCAGTTTCAGTACGTCAATGCTGTATATCTTGGAAGCATGACTGAAGAATTCGGTTTGGTTCAGTGTGCACATGGCCTGCTGCACGGCCGTTGAATTTACAGCGGGCGGAAGAGGGTAGATGAGGCTGAATGTTGAATAGCTACAGAACACATTGTCCCAATCCCCTTGGATGTAGATTTGCGCAAGCTGTAACACATAAAGCATTGAAATCGATGTAAAAATTAGTGTCATGTTTTGCAAAAATGATTCATGATTCACATTCGTATTGCAGAAAAGTAAAGTCGTTCTGGAATAAAGTAAAGTAAGGCCCCATCAATGTAAATTCACAGCAAAAGTTTTGATGATTAGGCCTATGTATAACTCTTAGATGGGCAAAGCTCCAAGTCAAAAGAAATCCGTATCGCTTACCGCAAACACTGAGAATGCGCTGTCTGCCAGAGAAGCTTTGAGTTGGTCCGGAGTGACGCTCAGGCTTTGTACAAGGGAGTGTACAGCGGTTGCATTCAACAAGCCTGTCTGAAGCCGAACTGCAAAAGAAAATTTCCAATCAATAACTCTTATTCTTTAAAGCCGTAAGGTACTGAACATCTCAAGTTATATCAGACATCTTCTTAGGTCATGTCCACAGAGCGGCTGAACTGTGGGAAAACTGAGCAGCCAAACTGCACAGATTTCATAAGCTGAATGGGAAATCTGAATATCATTATCAGAAAACTTTGCTTTTCAAACTTTCACTTCAGTTCGCTTGCAGCTCGTGTCTGTGTGGAATGGAGAGAGTCCATTCATTGAAATCTGTGATTTTGTTCTGCCACAAAACTGAACAAAAGTCTGAAAGAGTTACGTCGGTTATTGTCAAGTTTCACGACAGGTACATATCACGGATGTGATATGTATGCTATGCTAAGCACGAGTAGTCTCCTGTTTAAAGGAGAAACCAATATTCTGTTTTTCATCTCTGAATTTTCTCTCTATATGCTCCTTTCCTCAGGAAGCTTCCTGTCTTGTAACGAACTAAATTTGGTAGATAAATCCAAGGTTGGTGGTACCTTGTTCACGCAACTGATTTGCTGTGCTCTCCAGCGAGAGAGTGAAGATCTCTAAGTACGGTCTAACGACATTCCAAACCCCAGCTGCCTTCAAGTCGGCCTCTATTCCTTGGAGAAGCTGTACCGTACTGCAGGAAGTCAAGGTTTCAGATGAAAATATTTACTATCTTTGTGGAATGGGTACTGGTTCTGTAAACAAAGACTATTAGAAGTGGCTTGAAATTCAGTTTCCCTCAAACACGAAATGTAACAAGTTTTTCATGACTAGGAAATGAAGCATTATTTTTAAAATTAGCCAGGGCAGTGGTAGTGCTGCAGAGTTTATCTGTCTTGAGCAGAAGCGCCCCATCATCGGTTTACAAGGGCAACATTGGTTGGGAGTGTTCGGTTTGCTGGTAGCGACAGGACTGTAGCGCACACATTTCATAGTCATTTGCGAATCGAAGAAATGCAGTTCTAACCCTAGGAGCCTCTGTTGCTGTAGAAATAGCGTACTCCCAAGGTCAGGCTCAGGGCTCACAACTAGTTTACCTGTTGACCTGATTGTCGGCTGCCATCTGTTGAAAATAGACAAGCCAGCTGTTGAGTACGTCTTGTAGCCTGGGCTCCGTCGCATTCCACCAGACGTAGTCCACGACGATCTTCGGCGGCATTGAGACCAGATGCCCAATGACCTCCGCCAGACGGTTCCGATTGGTCATCCAGGCTGTCCAGTTGAACGGCCCAAGGCTGGGATCGTTGACAGCAATCCGCTCCAGATCGGCCTGAATTTGGCTCAGCTGGTAGTGGGTGGACAGTTCCAGCGGAACAAGGGTGAAGTTGACCGCACACACGGCCTCCTGGACGGCTGTCAGATTGGAAGGGCTGCCAGCCGGGAGCTCAAAGAACGAGGCAAATTGATTGGTGGAACAGAGGACCGAAAAGGGATCTGATGTGTTCCAGAAAACCACCCACTGCAAATAAATCACAAGATAAGGAAAAATTCTAATCCCTCTTATACAAAAATCCTCTCCAGTACAAAATTTTACCCAGTTATTAATTAATGTACTCAATACCACATTGTTCCATACTGGTCATGTGACCCAAACTTCTAATTACATCTCTCTATCGTTTTTTACAAACGTTTAAAGGCATCTGCAACTTTCCCCCGAATCTCCAGCAATTTTAGGTAATACCACTCATGCCACAGGTCCTGAGCTCAGTCGGTGCCTACCTTCTCTGGACGAACACTGAGGGACATGAAGGCATCAATGACGTCTGGTGCCAGATCCCACAAGACAAATAAACTCCTGACGTTAGCAGCATCGGCGAAAAGCCCTTCCAATGAAGGGAATGTCCAGTTTTGCCCTAATCACAAAAATAATGAAAAACCAAACTGTTCTTTATCTTCATCTTGAGAACACAGAGACATGCACGTCAGAAGTACCACGTTTGGGGCTGACTGCAGAAATTAAAAATCCCCAGTAAGAGCAAAACATTTTCCTTGAATGCAGTCGTTTTTATGAAATAAAAAGGGTCATCAGCCAATGAGATGTCATCACTTGCACATCAAGACTTTTCTTTCCTACCTGGTCTGATGATATGATTATTAAAGGGATCTGTTTCAAGAATGAAACAGGGAGGTTTCACTGAGTGAAGATCACCCTTTTATCAAATCTAGTTTTTCCAAATCTCACTCCAGAATGAATATCAATACCAATGAAGGCAGACATCTGATCAGTGAGGAATCGGTTGATGTAATCTTCCAGCCTGTACTGCATAACAAAGCTGTTGTAGAACTCTCCCCTTCCAGACAGAGCATTGTCCAAGAACAGCAGCACGTTGTCCAGCTCCGCCCCAGTGCTGTGGCAAAGAATTTGAAAAGCTGACTCGAGAATTTTAAGTCACAAAAGCAGCAGGTAATGTGTTGCATGCTTCTTCAAGTTGCAAAATCTTCAACAACTCTCCAAGAACTTCAAGTTTTAAACAAGGTTTAAATTACGCCACGATCTAGTCCATCATAGCATTTTCAACCAAACCAGGAATGATTGCGAGTGAGATGATTTTTCACCAAAGGATTTCTAGGGACTTACATGTCGGTAGTGGCCGTAACAAGTGAGGCTAGGATGGCCTCTGTCTGTCTAAGCTTCTCGCTGAACCATGCCGCGTCGTACATCGCCAACTGAGGTGGTGATTGGACGAGTCTGGTGAATGTCTCCACCAGAGATGTGACAGATTCAAACGAAGCTGTCCAGTTCAGGGGAAGATTGCGTCGCTCCTGAAGAAAAGAAATAAATGAATGCTGACCGATCTGTCTTTTGACTGTTCCATTTGTGCAAATTTCTATTGTGGCGTGGTATCATTTAACCATTTCCATAATACTACTTTAATCTTCAGGAAATTGATGATCTGGTTAACAAGAATACTGCCCTCAATGGTTCATGCAGAACTCCACTGGATCAATAACGGGTAATGAGAGCTTACCTCGAAAAAGACCAGCTCTTGGGACCACTCTGAGGCCAAGAGAATGTAATCCAGTGAGCAGAGCACCGAGTTGACAACTGAGGTGTTCACTCCAGGCAGGAATTGAATCAGCTCTGTCATACCAGTCGAGTTATCGCAAAGGAGGCTGACCAAGTCATCGGTTCCATTTAAAGTCTCCAGCTGAATAAAAACAATGCAACCAAAAATTTCTGGATTTCTTCAACATCAGCTTCATTTAACAGAAGTGCGGATAACTGAGCATAGCACCTGAAGACTTTAACAGAAGAGTGGGTTATACGGCTGCTTGGTGAATAACCAAAGTACTAAACCAAAGACCAACAAGCTAAAACAGCATTGCTAAAATCTCCCTCCGTTTTTTGTTTTAAAACACCCATCCCGTACAATTCACCTTGGCCATGTTGACGTAGGATTGGGACAGAGCTGTGACAATTTCTGGGAAATCGTCCATCAATCTCTGCAGTAACTCTGCCGTAGTCTGTGGCAGGATGTCGAAGAACGTGAAGTTTTGTCCTGAAGAAAAGAACCAATTTCAATGATTGTTGTACTAGAATGAAACTGACACTATCATTTCTTTATGAATAATGAAAGTTGGCGAGAGCAAGTTCACACCATTGAACAGCTACAGAACTGAAGGGACACAGAACGTAAGATTTTCAGATTCTGATGAACAAATCTGGGGTTTTTCTTGAAGGAAATGAACCATAACATATTAGAGAAAGAAATTCAACGAGTACGCCATCGTAGTATTCACGGTTTTGTCAGAAGTTGCTCTGACTTCATCAGGTCCTAAAAGCCTATCTAAGGAAATGAACCATTAGATGAAAATTATTTCCCCAAGTTATCCAACAATAATGGGATGGTGACGTGGTCTGATAGACGGATATCAAACGATCTTTGGCTTCTTTCAGTGAGGTCGAAGACTGATCTTGAATTTCTTACCAGGGAGAGGTCTAAGCTTCATGTTGGCATAGTCTAGGATTGACGTCAGCTCTCTGATAGGCCCCTTGATGTCCTCCCACCAAGACTGGTTCTTGAACTGGGCCTCAAGACTTTCAAGCATTACAATAGTGCTGTAATGAAAAGGATATAGGGAAATTAATCGGTTGTGTTCTGAGCAAGTCATTTGATCAGGTTCAATTGACAAACCATCTATAAGACAACTCTGCTTGACATCAGTCCTTGTGCACTGCTTTGCTCCTGGTCTGGTGCCAACTCACTTATAATGTAGTTTTGAACCCTGAGGGTTCGAGTCTAGCCTAGGGGGTTGAGAATGTGTCCTTGAGCAAGACGCTTGACGTACTTGCTCCTCTCTAACCAGAAATAAATTGGCATCTATCAGTTTGAGATTATCGATGGGTTTTTATTTAAGCCATAAGCACTGAAAAGGCATGGGAGTTATACACTCCAATATGCACTACGAGCCGGTTGATCAGGGGTAACACTGAGCTCCAATAGTATTCTTTTAATTCCTATTATTGCAGATGTAATTATCTTCCAAGGAGTTACCAAGATGCCAACCTCAACTCCATGGGTTGCATGAGTATTCCTTCACTAACCCTTGGTCATGTGGAATACAAAAATGACGCTAATGGTGTATTTCAAAAGGTGGAATTTTAACCTCTGGCAATGTGTAAGTTAAACGACCCACTATTTGGCAGATTTAAATTAGGACTGTGGTCAATGTGTTTAAGCTCGATGCTGATTTTTGTATTCATGATGTGCAGAAGGTAACGTGAGCATTACCATGTTGGGAACCAATGTGGCATGGCAAGATCATACCCATGGGAATGAGGTTCCCAAGACGCCTACCTTCTGAAGTTGTCAGGATTCATCTGAGCCTGATTGGCACTCCAGACTTGAAGAACCCGTACCACCTCACTGAACGTATCATTCAGCCACGTCTCGTTGATGTTGACGGTGAAGGGGTCTGCCAAGAATGCAGCAGTCTTCTCGTACAAAGTGAGGAATCGATGACTGATTGCCGATAGGTTGTCCGATGAGCTTGTGTTGACATAAGCCAGATACTAAAATGACAACAAAATATTTTTGTACACATTAAAGCTTGTCATTGACAAGTGCTGTGAGCGTTACTTCTGTGATACTCTGTTAGAGTATGTCTCTGAAAAACATGAATTCTCAACCTTGAATTAAGGTCAACAAACTTGATATTTGGTTGATGAGGTGAGAAACTATTATTTCAAAAGTTTTCAAACCTACCTTACTCATGAAAGTGTCAATTGGGAACACTTGCAGGAACTCCATCTGGAGTTTCTGTAAGTCCACTGAGCACACAGCGCCCTCTAGAGCCAAGATATCAGCGCTAGAGTAGGCAGGAAGGGTGAAGTAAGAACTGAAATTGCCAGCATCGCACAGAGCCACCAAGGGATTAGAGAGACCTAGGAACTCTTCAAGCTAAAGGAAAAAGCCGAATCAAAAAGTAAGAATAAATTTGTTTTTCAAAATGCAACCGCTTTATTATTTCAAACTTTCTAACAGTGTAATGTTTAGAACAGTTTGAGATTTCATACATGTGCAGACTTTTTATTTGAATCAAGTCAAGGCACGTAGCCTTGGTTTATCTCCACTGACAAAGAACGCTGTTGTAATCAATGTACAATCACTCTGACAAGCCAAGGAATTTTGTCCCATCATTCTGGATTCTGACTTTATGGCCAACATTCAAACTTACATCACAACTGTCTTGTATATATATCATGCTGCTTTTTTAACAACCTAGAAAACGGTTCAAAGACTTTGACCTGGTCAAGATGATACAAGAAAAAATTTTTCACTCCGCTTTGCTCAAAAGTGTGTGTGTTCACTTCAGAATGAAGTTTGTCTCGAAAACAGTGGTCCAATAGGGCAAAATGAGCTTTGAAGGGAAATCAACATTTTCAATCAAGCAGATACGCACCTTGTCTTGTTGAACCACGAGACTCAACACCGCATCAGTTAACTCTGGGGTGAAGCCAGCAACAACTTCAAACATTTTTTCGGTCTCGGTGATGTTGGCCAGCAAATTACGGATTTCAGGAAACACTAAATGTTTGCCTAATGAAGACAAAGGAAAATGACATCTTTTTTTGAAAATCTGAAAACTAGCACACAACTCAGTCAGTGCTGGTTATAAACGGTTATATTCTTCAGTTTTGATTTTTATAGGAAAACTTTCTGGAAGTTTTAGATTTTTTAAATGGGTTATAGAGGCTCAAAATTAGACAATTATAAAAACATTAAAGATCTCTCCGAGAACATACCAAGAGAAACCCTCTTCAGCACTGAATTAACTTTCTACATCAAAGGCTATTATAACAATATGCAATGAAAAACACCAAATCTTTCATTCGCTTTATAAATCAATGCACAAAGAGTCTAGTCATGGACAGTGGTTGGTGGGGATTTACAGAGATTATCTGATCAAACAGTTGCTTGGAAAATGATTCAATTTCTTGGGCCTGTATACAATTGTTTCAGGGAAAAGAACAGAAGACATGTAGTAAAACCAGTCAAGTGTTGACGTGTTATTTTACCTTTCAGTACCAAAATTCGGTCTGTGAAATATTCCACGAAGTAAGCCACAGATCGAAGTTCTTTGATCGCATCCCTGTACCAGCTTTCATTGGTCAGTATCATGTCGATGGAACTGTAAGAGCCAATTAAAATGCACCGCATTAATTTCCTGAATGACTATTGGCCAATTCACTCAGATCAAAATATCACAACTGACCAATCAGATACATAAAAAATGGCTTAGTATGCAATTCAAAATGTCTGAAGAGAAAAAAGGAGACACTTTAAACTCATATTTATTGCTCATGCACTGAAAAAATATAAACATCTCTAAAGAGTCAGCCAACAAGTGTATCGCTTTAGGTCTTATCAAGGACTTAAATTTGGCCTTACTCGAGAGAACTTAGAAGTGTTTCCACAGATAATGCCTGTTGCCATGCCGACAGATTAAATCCTTCTCTCAAGGGGTAAAATGTCAAGGGCAGGTAAGAGTTGATGCGGTAGTTGCCCAGGGAAGCCATGTGAAACAAAAAGGTCTGAGCATCTTGGAGGAAAGAGGTGGAGTTGAATTCACTGACTTGCAAAGCGCCGATCTGTAATTTTAAATGAATGACAGACATTAACTATGACCAAGAAAAATGCAAAAGCCAATTTCTTCTTTTAAATTTTAAAATTTGTATTTGGATATACAAACTTAAGTTCGATCAGAGTACAAGACTTGAAGCAAGAACACAAAAAGCAATCGTGTCAAAGGTAAGTGCACAACAAACCAACCTCATTCAATAAGTACTCAAGCACTTGCGTATCATTGGTCAAAGCTTGCACTGCTGCCAGGAATGCATCCCCGCATAGGACCTCGCTAAGCTGCGTCACATTGAAGGCATCAGGGAAGGCAAACAGTGCCCTCAAGGCATTGACGTCACACACCGCCTTCCGCCAATCAGCCCCTACAACAAGACTACTCAACTGGAACACAGAATATAAAAATTGCAGTGAATGTGACTTTTTCCTAGGCAGGTCGAGAGTCAGTGTCTTCAATATTTTTAAAGATGTTTGGACCAATGAGTGCACTGAAGTCCACAATGAATATTCATGAGATAGTTTACCTGGAAGGGATCAATGGGTGACGATAAGATTGTGTTGAGCGTTTCAACCCCAAGCGTTTGCTCCAATGTATTGATGATATGACTGATGGACGAGTCGTTGGTCAATGGTTTCAGAAGTCCAAGGGTTAGGTTAAGCTCTGAACAGAATGAAAGAATGACAGTGAGTATTCAAGTTTATTAATGCAGGATTGAGGTAAGCCTTCAAAATCTGTTTAAACCTGAAGAATTTCAAATAAGGTTTATTCGTTTGCTAAGAACTGGAAATTGAGAAATCACAAACTCTTGGACTCTCTTGGCCAGAAGGCTGAAAAACTGAATTCAAAATTATTTATCCTTTGTGCGTAGTAATAATTTGTACAAATGGGGTCATCAGTGACCGACTTTTCCGCCCTGTACCTGGTTTGGCTTCGCAGATGTAGCTGTAGTGATCGGAGCAGTTTGCGGGGTACCAAAGACCATCGCCGCCAAAGTTGGCCTTGATACAACTCATGAAAGAATCATTTGACGGTGCAAAGTTGGAGTAGGCACCATCATTGAGGGAACTGAACCAGTCGTCCAGCCAGACGTCGGCGTTTGGTCTGATTGAGGAGAAAAGTAATGACTTTTTACCACAGATTCATAGATGGTGATTGCATGGGAAAGATGACACGAAAATCTCTATGATACAAACCCAAAACTCTCCAGGAACATCTGTTCAGTCTCACTGTTCACATGCAATGGTGTGCTCTGAGCCTGGGCGTAGCATGCACCGGTTACAAGGTCCCAGTGAGGAAGTGTCTCATTCAGATATCGATAACAGGTGCCACTGTATCCTTGCCAACCATCACGACAAGAAGTCTCTGAAAAAGGGTTACAAAAATTCAAACTAGTAAATAATAACACTCAAATGGTAACAACTGTAAGTTCCTGTCGGTGTTTATTCTTGATGTATTACAAACAGGTAAAAGGAATGCAACGCTTTGTTCATGACAGGTCATGTGACCTCAACAGTGTCGTAGTGGAGTTGATAACAAGTCCCTGCAAGTCCATCACAAGTCCTTGCAAGTCCCTAGAAGTCCATCACAAGTCCCTTGCAAGTCCATCGCAGGTCCCTGCAAGGCCCTGCAAGTCCAGCAAAAGGCCCTGCAAGTCCCTGCAAGTCCATAAAAGGCCCTGCAAGACCACCACAAGTCCCTTGCAAGTCCATCACAAGGCACTCAGTCTTAAGCCAAGTCACAAGCTATTTAGATGAACTGCGACATTGACAAAGACAATTCCTGCATTATTGTTCGTTAGAATTGGTCCTGTGAAAGGAATTGGGACTGGGTTTAAGAAAGGAATTGGGACTGGACTTGAGAAAGGAATGGAGATTGGACTTGAGAAAGGAATTGGGTCACTGGACCTGTAGTGGACTCTACGACACCACTGTTGAACAAATTGCAGAGGCAAAATTCTGATCTCTGAGCAACTAAAATCTTCTTTTTACGACAGGTATTATAGCACTAGGTATTTCAAAAGTATCTAGTCTAGAACCACACCTGTGTGTGTGGATAACTACCTTTTGCTTGGTCAAGGAACCGATTCATGAAGGTGATGTAGGCGTGGACTTGTTTCAGATCTACTGTGCCGTCTGCATCTAGCGTGGTGAGGAGCATTTTGAGGCCTGGGACAGAATAGAGAATGCTACCCAGGTCCAGCTCGCTGGAGAAAATAGAGATGAGAATGGTAAATTTAACACAAGTATTGTTGCTAGAATTTCCTGAGCTGGCACTCTGGAGGGTGTGCCTGCAATGCATGCTGGGATAACACATACATTCCATATGAGGATATATTGTTAAAACTAGGAAAGTCATACAGTGAGATGCTTTGACTGCAGATATTAAATGACAGTGTACCATGGGCGGAAATCTCTCCTCGATCGTGGGTGTAACATCAATTTACACTTTTTTTTATACACGCCGTGTTTATCATCTTATTCCATTTATAAAAACTCACAAACATGAAAATCCTTGATTCATCAATTCCTTTAGTATATTGTTTTGCTTAAAACATGGAGGGGACATTCGACATTGTGTCCCCCCAAACCAAATTCACGAGGGGACGTGTCCCCCTGTACCCCCCACCGGATTTCCGCCCATGCATTGTACAGTGGTGTTCTGAATCCAAACATCTTTGTGTTGGAAATCGTTCCATTCTTTCATACAGGTATTGTGATGTAGAAATGTGATTGTATTTCACACAAACTGTCTGAAATAAATTGAGATGATTATTTTTTCCTGAGATAGCCCCAATTTGAAAATTGTAGTCAATTTTATGAGCTGTCCATCAAAACCAGACTAATGAGTTATGTTTTCTTGATTGCTTTTAAAACATGAAAACTCTAAAGATTTTTTGTCTTCAGTTATACAAATGGAACTAACTTATTCTGGTTTATCAAGCTGATATTGCCATATCCCATGAGCACGGCCCTGAACAGTGCTTGAGACACGGTCCCTAATGAGGCTACGTCGTAGCGGTGTTGGAAGACAGTAACGGTAAAAGGAAGGCTCTGCAGGTTGAGTTGCAATGCTTCGATGCTCCGCATGAGATCTTCAACGCTGATGGAGTCTGGCATCGTCGTGTTGAAATCTTCGGTCTGAAGGCTAATGATCTGAAAAGCACAAAAAGCGACAGAGTTGATCCAATGGCTATGGGTAGATACAATTGAGGGCGCCGTAACTGTTTTCGGTTGTTGATCCTACCATTGCTGAGGCAAGCAACCTGAAGCACACTTGAGGTTTCTTCCAAAGGAATATGAATATCTTTTTTATTCAATCACAAGTTGCAGAAGCTCAGACAGAAAATCTACGAAGAACTTGCAGTCAATGAGCTATTTAATACCTGTGAGAAAATCTGGTCATAGTTGATGACGTCTTTCACCTCCACTACAAGAGCGCTGTAGTTCACCTTACACAGATACTCATCCAGGGCAGTTGTGTTGATGGACTGGTTGTTGGCATTCAGCCAAGACTGTCGGACGGTGCCATCACAGAACAGTGCAATCACATCCGATGATCCAATCAAATCAGAATACTGTTCAAGGAGACCAGTCCGAATTTGAAATAGTTATAAACTTTATACCAAAGAGTTTAAATATAAAATATCAGTAATGACAAAAAGGCCTCCTAAATTTTTCGCGACTAAAGAAACGCTTACTTTTTGCGTGTTCTACTTTGTTGATATATGAAGTTAGTAAAAGGAATGCAGCAGAGAGCAGTTAGGAACAGCTCTTATCACAGCCTTTCTTTGCTGGAATGTGAACTCATAACCTCTTGGTGACAAGCACAGATTTCTCACTCTATGATGAAAGAGCTTGCTGGGCTCATTGGGTAAGTTCTACGTTAGCTTTGAGGAAGCTTTGGGAAAATTGTATCAGTCGTTGATGAAAGCATTATTTAAAACGTAATGGAAAAAGCAAAGGGTTAACAATTAAGTGAATTTCTTGTAGTTTTGAGATATCAGTGTAAGTATACAACCCAAACTTAGTTTTTTTGGTAAGGTTGAAAACGTTTTCATTGTAATAATATGCCAACCTTGGAAGGGTCATCCCACGTTGCGGACAGAGCTGCAATGAGTGCTGGGCCGTTGTCGATCAGTCCCATGATGCCTTGCAAAAAGCGTTCAGTCTCTGGCATCGCACCACTGAAAACCTGCCCCTGACTGAATGCTGTCACACCAAACAAAGAAAAATTCACTGTCAGTGTTGAGGCCAGGTGGCAACTTGAGTTAAGGAATCGCACTTGACTACAAGTGGGATTTGATTTCTTTTACCTTCAATGAGAGCGAAGAGTTGATTGGTTGTCTGCAGAGCTGTATTGGCCAATTGGAGCACGGCATTGTTGTAATGTAGCACATCCCTTAGCATGAACGGAACACTTGTTGTTGTCCTGCAACAAAACAAAGGAGTAACAGTTTTGTTCAAAACTTTCCGGAAGAAAAAAAATGACACAAGTTTGGCAACGAATCCATGTTTAAACTGGAAAAGACCAAAAACGTTCTGCAGACAGAAAAGGCAACAATAATGGTAAAAATCATCTTGTGAGCGATGCTCGTCACCTGTTTATGAGTGACGTTTTGCTTGGAATGAAAGCTAGATTAGGTGTGAACAGAAATTCCCTGCTCTTTAAAGGCGGCATCAAAACAGGGTCAAAGCAAGACAGGTTAAAAACTAAAGCTCTCCAAATCCCTCAAGAGCAAAAAGAACAAAATTCTTACCATCAACCATTAATATATTTTTAACAAGAATTGCAGGAAAGAAAAAAACGTAATTCAGATCTGGTTTGGAACCTTCAACCTTGTCCTTAGAGCCCACTCTATTAATCTACCATGACAACTCAATTAATACCAGATTCCCAAAAAGTTACATCAGTGCACTTATGATGTATGAAAAAAAACTGCACAGTACAAATGTACCATGCGAAGACATCAAAAATACTTGATACTAATGTGACATTAGCGGAGATACCAAGGTGTCATTTTGAAGCCAGCCTCTTCTCAACTTCAAAGCTAGCTCCAGTAAAAATACTTACGCCATTTCTAGCAATAGCATCAACTGTTGCTGGTTCAGTAATGCTTGGATACGATTCGCCATGGCTATCCACTCGGCATCCGTCCCAGTCACGGTAATGCCGGTATCCTCCCAGAGCAGCTTGGGATCGAAGCGACGAATGCTGGCATCGCTAATCAGGGCTTGAAGTTCTGCGTTCTTGATGAGCAACTCCGAGAGATTGGCGTACGGTGCAAACTCAGCCGGAATTACCGTCGTGTTCATGGAAGTCATGAATGTATAATATCTCTCAAACTATTCAACAAATAAACATGGAAATCAATACTCAATATTACCATTTTTGGAATATGTTCTTTCAATCCTCCACAAAACTTGTGTCTTTAAAATTCATATTCAAAATGTACATAAATATTTCTTAAAGGGAAGTACAAGTTTTAATAGAGCAATCAGGGATGAAAGTCGCGAAGCAAAATAATTGTCTATTGAAAGGATGTTCTGATAACTATTCAGTTTCCTCCAGTTCGCTGGGAATTTATTTTGTTAGGTTACCGTTCTAATAGAACCTAAAACACATCAATGCTTCCTCTTATTAATAGGCATTGTGGGTACCTTAGTCAATAAAACACCTACCGCTGTTTGAATCTGCGGTATGTTCCAGAATGCTGATTGTTCCTGTAGTAAGGTCAAGGGGTCAAGGTCGCAAAGGCGGGATCTGACTGCAGCATCATAGGGTGACAGATCCACAAAGCCTTCGCTGCAGAGAAGCGTGGAATGGTCATCCCGATTTGTGTCTAACAGCATCTAAAAGGTGGTAATTTAAGAAAAACATGCAGTGAATGACAAGACTTGATTATCTAAATGAACTAATTAATCAGAGTGACCCAGTTCCAAAGATGAAAATCAATGATCATTCCTAAAAACCTTGAGATAAATTTTAAATTTTTAAATCTTACATTTTTTTTGTCTGATGTCACATTTTACACCAAAAAATGAGACCAAAAGTTTTTAAGAAATGATGTCTTCACTTGAAAAAATAACAAAAGTACAATCACAGCTCCTCTTACCTGCAACTTTGAGGCATTCAGGAATGTTTGGATGACCGCCTCTGTGACGTTGGGTCCTAGTTCTAGAAGGGTCCTTGTGGCATTGGCAAATGGCTGCTCTTTCAAGCGCGTGATCAGAATATGATCTATACACAGATCAAAAAAGTACAACCAGGGATCTCAGCATCAAAACATCTACAGGGTCATTTTCAAGCTCTGCTTCGGTGGATGCTTCTCATGCAAGAATGCACACTGATTTGTGCATGTTCTACGAAACTTGGTATTCGTTTAACATATGCAATGCCATACACATGATGTGCATCTTCCCTTATGATAAGCTACACCATAACATCTACAGATAACGTATGAAGTGAACACAGAATTGCAGTCAGATGCATTGCCCTCTTTTTGTGCACATTCTGTTGAAAATCAGTGATATCATCCTTGGTCAGCTCTCACGTGTACACCATACAATGGCAACTTAAGATCTCCAAAGAGCCCATGAACAATTACTTGTAACCTCCAAGCTTACCTTGAATCACTTTGCAGACTGAACTGTTAAGCTGGGCACTGCAGTTAGCTTGATGCCAAAGTCCGTCTGTCCCGAAGTTTGCAGCCCCGCAGTAATAGTCACCTTGTGGTTCAGATTCCCAGTTCTCATATGTATATTCAGTTGAGAAAAGAAATGAAGAGCGAAAGATCCAAGACTCCTGGTCTGGGCTGCAGGAGAAGAGGAGAAACAGATGATCTTTCGGGGTGGAATTTACTTCAGACGGCAAAAATGTGGAAGCATTCAGAAAGAAAATATTAGTTGAACTACCAGTAGAAAAATTACATCATAAACAATAATGACTAGTTACTTTCTGTTTATAAAGCACATAAGTCAAGCGCTACTGCTGTTGAAAGTGTTACACCGTTAATGGTGACACCTGATCATATCAGACCATGAGACCAAATTCGGCTGTCAATTTCAGAGAAAGTTGAGGCCTCTACTCATTTTATCCCCATACAGGTAGAGAGAGAAAAGGGTTACATTGACTTGTCCAAGATCACAACATCCTACCGGCTACCGCACTTGAACTCCCAACCCTGTGATCGGTAGTCCAAACACCTGATCACTGAGCCACAAACCAAGAGCGCATACATCTCTCAAGTTAGTCTGTTATACACATTTCATATCATTCTCATGAAAGATTCTGTCCTTACCCGATGCTTTGCAGGAATTGCTGTTCTTGTTCATTGTAGACAAACGTCAGAGAGCTCTGAGGGTCGGCCGATGGACAAACCTGCCACGAAGCTGTATACCAATTGCTGGCTTCATCCACAAACTTATAGCAGAAAAAGTTGTCGCCATGCCAACCGGGCCTACACGTGCCACCTGTTTGGATCAAAAACATGCAGACAAAACTGTTCAATGTGAAGCAAATTTCTTGTCAAATTTCTGGTGTACCTTCAAGAAGAGAACAATTGTGCTAAAGCCCTGACTGACGCTGCAGGGCTATCTGGAGGGCAAACAATGCAAATTTAATGTCACAAACCATTTACAGTGAAATTACCTCGAGTTGAAACTGAATTTGCAGCCCAAAGTTTCAGTCTAGCATCAGAAAAGATTATTCATTTGTTACCAGCTCTGCAAAATGGTGTCAATTTTTTTTGAATTTGAGTTTTACATATACATGTAGAATTAAATTGATCACATCCTAAGCTTTCATTTGATATATAATTCATCCTAGTGGCATTTTGCATTTTGGAGTTATTTGCTATTTGCATATTCAAATAATTTCATTTTATCACACAAGCTTTTTGAGATGATGCCCTTTAAACATTTCCTTTGCAACAGAGGCTTTCAGAGGCCAACTGCTTGACCAAGCAGTTGGCCTCAAAATATTCCCAAATATTTTCACCCTCGACACTTGGAATTGGGCCATTACGCATTTTTGCATTGTGCGACTTAATACATCTTTTTGTGGAGCGTGTCACATTTTTGCTTCAGTATTATAAAACCGACCTTTTACCTTCACAGCTGTTTCTCTAATACACAAGTGCATTTTCCACCTGTTATTGACAGTGCAATTATCATATTTCAGCTTGTCAAAACCTTAAGCAAGAAATCGATAATTTTTCAGAGGGTACAAACAGAAAGTGCATGAAAATTCAAGGCAAAGAAAGGGGTTATTATAGGACTACTGTTTACCAGTGAAAAGCTTGACTATGGCAATTTGCAGATCCATCATCAAGTTCTGGCTGATCAATTGCTGCTGGATGAGTGGCCAGATTTCCAGCTGAGACAAAAGGTTCTGGAAAAGTGGAGGATACATCCCATAGCTGCATGGAAAACACATGAGAACTATTGGCTAGGAAGTCAGGAAAAGTATTGGAAACTATTTGAAGCAAAGAGTATGCTCTCAAAACGATATCAGCTCAATCGTGGAACTGGAACCTTGACTGTGAGTTTGATATTATAAACTCTGTAGACAACAGGAGACTCCGATATGTTTGGAAGGGGGCCAGTCTGTCTGCCACCACCAAGCACATCAAAGTCTCCTATTGCGTGGATCCACTTTCTGTGATATCTGGCCTGAGTTTTTTTAATACACCTTCAAAATGAGATAAGGAAACACATTCTCCACTACATTTAAAAAAATTTCACAGAGCTGTTTGCCGCAGATACTTGGTAAGCATAGGAAAGTATGCTTACCATTGAAATGTGACACGATGTATCCTGCCTGTATCTAGTCTTCTCCAGTTTTGGAGTAGTCAAATTTTTATGCGTAATCATTCCTGCTTAGAATTTATACGAAGGATGGCGAGACTTACGTGAACTCTTGCATGGCTTCTTCAAAAGTTTGGTTGTCACTCAGCCAACTGATTACACCGGTCCAGTCGCCCGAAAAATTCAAAGGACGCTGGAAGACGCTGAAGAGGGAAGGCAGCTTGTTGATGAGCCTTGGGAGTTGTTGAATGTCCTCAGAGATGTTGGCCACCTTCTGGAGGAAGTGTCCCCAGTCATCAATGGTCCCCACTGGCTGACCTACAGCAGCGCTGATCTGTTCAGAAGATCAAGCTCTTTTTTTCAAAAGCATCTATGCATGCAATCTTTTGCAGGTACTGAACTTCTGATTAAGTCTTCCCCCTTCATCGTCTGGGGACTCTTTTTAGTTTAATCACATTCAAACTCTGTGGACACTGGGCTTTTCCTCACCTTCAAACTCTAAGCACCCTGGATATGTCCTCATCTGTAAACTCTGAGGACCTTGGTTATTCCTTGCCTTCATTTTCTGAGACCTCAGATTGTCTTGTTCCTTTAAATTACATTCAGTTGCTAAAGGTCCACATTCATTTAACAGACATAAATTTGGACAGGAATGTGTGAATGTATGTGTGGCCCACTCTGTGAAAATGTCTTAAGTCACCAGTGCCACTTTGGAGTAAAAAGTCCTTCAGAACAATTTTGCACAGTGTAAATCAATATGAACCCACAGCATTTTTCACCATGGAGTATCCACTTTCAGCAGGAAGCCAAACTGAGTGATATGTCAAAACAAAAAACTCACTTTGCTCCTTCTAATACAAATGAAAACTAAAAAAGTGGATCTGGCGACTTATGACTCATTTTCATAGAGCGGGTCGCATATTTGACTCCCTCCTTTTCCTAAGCCTTGAGGAGTACAAACCTTGTCAGAGAGCATCGTCAAGTCCAGTTCCATCAGAACCATCCTGAGGAATGCATCGGCATTGGAGCTGCTGTTGACAAGGTGGCAGAGTACTGCTTGCAGGGAACCGGCTAGTCTGACTGGTGCACTGTGTGCACTATCCGGTAGGATGAGGTAATCCACCAAACTCAGATTACCAGTGCAGAACACATCAGCCAGATTCTCCTGGCCTGAGTACACACTGAGCAGAAGTGGAATTGCCTGGACAGTCCGGGAGAAAACGTATTGTACTAGTTTTAAAATAAATAGGTTAGGTCCAAAAGATAAACTCCCTATTAAAACTTTCCACACACTGATGGCAGGTATCTAAAAAACATATGGCATGACAGTCAGTGAAGTGGTGATATGGGGTACATATCTGGGCACTTGCAGTTGCTTTAATAAGTATAAAACTTATATAGAGGTGTGCATTAAAGGTGGGCTGATGATAAATGCTGACGATATCAATGTTTTACTCATCAATAAAGGGGCTTTTCAAAATACACAATCCAATGTCTCTGTTGGAATTGCTTTCAATAGACTTTTAAAGATACACGAGGGAGAGTGGAGGAGTGACAGACTTGGGGATAGACATGGTGAGAATGGGTAGGTGGGGGTATGCGGTTACCTTGTCCATGTCAATACTGGTCCGCCTGAGAGCTTCTACGTCAGCCTGGGTGAGGTTCAGTTGAGTCTGGAAAAGATCTCTGAAGATGGACTGGTCACGGAACAGCTCTCCCAAAGTCAAAGGCTCTGAAATACAGAGACAGGAAAGATGCACAAAACTCCACCTGTCAGGAACTGTGAAGTGCAATTTTAAGCTTCGTTATATACTTCAGTAAATCAGGCTTCTTCATTCTTAGATTTCTTCAAATCAAATGCAAGAGTTTTACAACCGGTAAACCTTGAATGGGAGGCACTATACGTAGACTTGTGACAATCAGACTCATTTGGACACTGAATGGTGTCAAGTACACTAGCCTGCATGTAAAGTCAACTAGTTTCATGTGTAACTGCATACAGCCTCCATTTTCTCTCCAAAACGCTAGGACACAGCAATGACTCTGCTAACAGCTGTGACAAGATTGGCCCTCTGATCTTCAATCAATGCTCTTCTGGCACCTTAACTTATGGAAATCAAGCTGGATAGGCCAGACGGCAAATCCAACAGCCTTGCAGAGGTTTTCTGCCACCTTCAGAGAAAATATCACATTGAGGTCTCGACAAGAACTATTGTAAGCAGAAAACTCTTCTTGACTGAACTCCACTGAACAGTTCCTTACCTTGGTATCTATACACCTGTGCCAGCAGAGAACTGAGCACTTTCTGTCCCCTTAATATGATGTCTTTGATTGTCCTCCACCATGGCGGTGAGGGAATACCAAGTTCCATGTCCAAAGCTTCCAGTAAGTCCACCGTACTAATGAAGAAAACAATCTATATTAACAAGGGTTCACCCAGTTGACAGAAGCATTTTTATAATCTTACAATCAAATATATATGGACAGAGTAGATCTCGATCCTACCAAAGCCATCAACTCCATTTTCTAGGAATCTGAGCACAACACAGTCCTAGAACTAAAGAATGAACAGTAACTTCAAGTTGGGACTTAACTACCTTTTTCTCCAAAGCACCTATAAAATGAACTCATGTATTCCTCATCCAGTTCAATAGCGCCCTCAACAGTTCAGCCGCAAAGTCAATACAACTCACCTCTGGTGCTGCAGGAACTCTGTCACCGTCATGTTGCCTTGAATCAAGCCGGCCAGCCCGCTCCACTCCCCGGAGAAATTCAGCGGCTGCTGGAGGATACGCATGAGTTCTGGCAGCCTCTGCAGGAGGCTCGGCAGGTCTTGGATATCGGTGGTTGCTCTGAGCAGCTCCTCGAGTAAGCGCTGCCAATCGTCCATCACAATGGAAGAATTGCTGACCTGAGAAGAAAGCAGTAACGATTATTAGGCAGTGAAGACACTATCAGCACAACAGCTTTGTGACCACAGGGAGCTAAGATAGTGTGAAAATCCCATGAAAGTGGATTCGCTTAGTGGTAATCAAAGAATGGGCTGGCCTTAAAAACTGTAAGGGGAGTAAAAAGACAACTACTGGTTGTAAGTAACTGTTAACAATGAGGCGATGTCCCGGTGGTGACTTGGTGATTGTCAATGACAGGCAATGCCAGTGACACATTCTGCATGGATTTTCAAACACTTAGTTTCTAGGCTCTAGTTTCAGGCTTAAGATTCATGACTTAGACCCGTGAGAAAGCTCAAAGTAGCTTCCCCTTTGGCTGCAGATATTAAAGGTCGTGTGAGGCAAAGGATTGGAGTTTTTTGGAGAAACAACGTACAGAGTTTGAGCTAGCGACAAATCAAAGATTTGGACAATTGACCAGTGTCTACATCTCACCGGTTGTGCTCTGTACCAAGCCTGGAAAAGCATCTGGATATCTTCAGCAGTGCGGTTCTGCTGAGCCAGGAAAAACTGTAGCAGTGCTGTCTGATTCTGGAACAGATCTTCTAAGGGAATCTCTTGTCCTGAGAGAATTAAACAAGGAGCTAAAGTCATTATTACCTATGCTCACCGAGACCATTAAATGTCAAAAACCTTGGAAAATATAAATCTCGGTGATATTATTTAAACTCAAAGGACTCATTTGCATACCAACAATATTTACATTCGAAAATACCCATTCACTCCTGCTTAGTAGGGAACAATGCAGGAAAAGCGTCCTGCTTAAGGACACCCCTACTGCAACCTCTTGAGGCTGGATTTGAACCCACAGCTTATTGATGGGATTACAAATATAATCATAAATAACAATAAGGGCACTGCACTCCAGGAACCTCCGTCCAAACATGTTTCATGTCTCTTAATATAGCCAACCTACCCTGCAATGACTTCAACCAACCCTGACCAGCGGTGATCAGACCCTTCAGCAACAGCAAGTTAGCAGATTCGTTAGTCCCAGCTGTATGCAGCATGTCTAGTACCTGGTTGATCTGGAGGCTGAACACGTCAAGCAAATCTGCGATGCTCTGGCTGCAAGCAGAGAATGACGGCATTAATAAGGTGCAGACAGCTCTGCGATTGGCAGTGCAGAACTTGACACACCTAGAAATCATATTTTCCGAAGTTTTGTTAACTTCAGGCAATTTGGGGATTGCAACCAAGTATTTCCTTAGCAGTGACCAACAAAGAGATGTGACTGACTTTTGTGCACATTCTGATGAAATTAAATGGTCTCAGGGTGGGAACTACGCTTGGATACCTCTCTAATAGTAAAAAAGCAATGTGACAGACAGAACTATGTGAATTCTAATGAAATTGGGGGATCTTGGGATGGTAACTGTGCATGTGTACCTCTGTAGCAGTCACAAAGAAGACAGATATAACAGAAAGAGTTTGGCACATCAGACAAAATTTACTGGACCTGCTTAGAGTCAAATATACATCAAAGAGTGAGTGCACATGGCGCTTCCTCTATATACCTTTGTTTCTATGAGTGACAGAACACAGCTACCTGACCTTCCAGCACTGAGTTCCATTTGTCTCACACTTACTTTGCACTAGCCTGGCCTAGTGGATATACACCATTCTGGGACTGCAAGACTCGGAAGAACATCTCCTCCCAAGCTTTGGACTGGTTGCCGATGATGTCAGTGTATCCATCAAGGATAAGCTGGAAGTCGAAGGGTCGTGCAAAGATGTCTGACCAGGCCCTGCTGGTGAGGTCATACTTGTGGACGAGTGCAGAGAGGTTGGCGTAGTGGGCATACTCAGCTGGGATGGGGCCAGAGGCAGAGTTCAACAAGGCTATGTAATCCGTGATCTGTTGGGGAGGAAAAAAAGCCACATGCATCGTTTCTGATCTATTAAAGGAATATGAAATTCTGCATGAGGCAGGGCGGTGATATTAATTACTCGTCTCCTCAATTATAAACCTCTCCTCAAGGTTAATCTCATTTTTTGTCCCATTTCACAGTTGAACTCTGCACAAGTTTCAGTCTTCTACGCACTCATGTTCCCTTTGAGTTGTAGTAACCTGTCTCACACACGGAAACGAAAAAAAGGGGCCAGTGCGTTAACTTTGTCAGGCCTCAGCACAGTTGTGTAACTTGCTAGTCTGTCACGGTATGGGGTGGTGGTAACATGAAGTAAAGAACATCTTTTGTAAACCTGACGCTACAGGTACCAGACTCCCACCATGCACCCCACCTCCACCAATAAAACGGCACAAAATGCTTTACTTTTTACTTTTTACTTTAAGCACCCACCTTTTCCTGCAGTTCTGGGATCTGCCAGTGCCGCATCTGTTCAGCCAAAATTTCTGTCAGATTCAGGGAGCAGAGCTTCTGTCTGACTTCGGCAACATCAATCGAGTGTGGCAAGGAACTTAAGTCTATCATGCAAAGCGCCCTCACTTGTTCCTCTGGTGGCATTCTCACCAACGCCTATTTTGATAAGAGGGAAAAGTCTTCAGTAACATGTATGAACTCTTCACATCAATACCAACCCTTCCAAAACATAAATTAGTGTAAAAACTCCTGAAAGCAACTTTTTTTAAGGTCAATTATTCAATTTTGTTTTCTCTTTCCATCAAGGTCAAGATCTTTCGCCAAAATTTCCCCAAGACTGGCTGCAATCCAAGACAATGTCAATCCATTGGAACATGACAGGAGAAAATCTGAATGAAATCTAAAATACTTGCTCATGTTTGTTTTTGACTTGCTTACCTCAATGTATGTCGCATTCAGGAACGCTCGGAGGATCACTTCATTTACGTCTGGTCCCAGTTCAAGCAGCATGTGGATAACTTTGTCTGCAGGATCCTGGCGGAGAAGTTCGATGAGCCTGTGATCTACAACGATACGGACATGAAGCTTAGAAATGTTATACTTGATTTCTGCATTAATGGGTCTTACTTCCAGCATGCCTATGGGAACTCCCTCTGATAGAGGGGGTACACTTGTGAACTCTTTCTGACAGATGGGTTTTCTGGACAGTCTCTTGCAAGTTTCATGCGAAAAATCAGCTAGTTTTAAAAAAATCTTTATTCAAGACGTTTAATTTTGCTAGAGACAATGTTTTAGCTGAACCAGTTTCCAATCATGGGCATGCCCACAATAAGGGAACGGGGCAAAGTCTAATACCTTGCACCGCCTCACATAGGTAGCTATCCGTTGGCTTTGAGCAATTGGCATGGTGCCACAGTCCGTCTGTGCCAAAGTTAACTTTTGCACATGACCCGACTGATGATGTCATGTTCGGTGTGCTGGTAGGCGTGACTGATGGGAACCAGTTCTGGTAAACAAGGAACGATCCGTCTCCAATCCAGAAGGCATAGTCAGGACCGTATGAGACCAAACCCAGCCAAGAGAGGCTGTCTTCTCTGTGACAAATGGTTTGATGAGAAAAAAAAAAGAAAATCAACAAGCAGAAAAGTAGTAACGAAGAAAACTCATTAATTTACAATTTGGTGTGTCACGACTTGTGATTCGCTTGTAACTGATTTGTGATGGGTCTGAGATTGATCAAAGATTGACTTGTGATAAACTCGGGACTGACTTGTGACTGGCTTGTGACTGGCTTGAGACTGACTTGTGACTGGCTTGTGACTGGCTTGAGACCAACTGCTGATTGACTCGTAATTGAGCACAATCTAACTTTAATACAAAGCAGACTTTTGCAATGAGCAGAAATCACTTTGCTTAATTATGAACACCATCCACTGATTGCGTCCTTCCTTGATGGCCTACATACCCAATACTCTCCAGGAAACTTTGCTCCACTTCATGGTTGACAGCAACTGGGTATCCATGGCGATGGATTTCATGGCAGCCACTCCAGGCCGCCATTAGGTCTGGCGCAGTCTCATGGACGTACTTGTAGCAGGATGTAAGGTTGCTATGCCAACCATCCGGACAAGACCCTCCTGTGAGGAATCAAGAAACAGGAGAGGGGATGAGGGTTATGTATGGGGGCAGAAAAAGTATGTGGGGTGGCCAAAAAATGACACCTGCCGATGTGCAAATGTAGTGTAAATGTAATTTTTATTAGTACATGTGCATACCTCAAAACCCTTTTACAAATGAAAAAGGAGACCAACTTATTTTTTAACTCGTGTAAACGGTGCACTTGCAAATTGTCAAAATGTTTCCAAAAGAGATCACTGATTTCATATTAAATTCAAATGTTTTTCTTTTCAACAAAATCTGATTGAAATTACATCTGAAAATGGATTCCCGAGACAAAAAAGTATTCCATACTCTACATAAAAATTGTTTGGTTTCAAAAGACTTTATTCTGGTCAATTAGAAAGGGGTTTATGTCATTTACGGTACTTACCAGTAAATATGTTTAGAATCTGAAGTTCTATATCCATCGCCATATTTTGGAGGATCAATTGGTACTTGATGTCTTGCCATGCAGGAGTTTGAGACAAAATGTCTTGGATGACTGAAAAAATGGGTCCACGACTGAAAAACAAACATTTAATTAAGAATACATACATTCCTAACATTGCCAAAACTGACACCAATAAATTAGATGAAAATGATCAGAAATGCAACAGAAGGCAATGTAACATTGCCAAATGCAATGACTTTAAGATCATTACAAGAAAATGAAACACTCAGTTTTTTTTATATATTGGACTGCACCTCCACTGCTGCAAGACTTCTTCTATCGTCATGTTTCCTTGTAAAGATCCAGCCAGAATCTGTGTCCAGTCTGTCTGCAGGAGGGACGACTGGTCAAATATCTGAGGGTAGCTGGCCAGGAGCTCCGGAAGGCGTTGTAGAAAATCAGGAAGGTTTTGGACGCTTTTTACCATGGACATGATGTCATCAAGAAGAACATCCCACTGCACAGGGGTAGGCGGACTGTTCAGGACTTGGGTCACCTTTTTATTCAATAAACAGACAGACTTTCCTCATTAAAACGACATCCTTTAAATGAGAGTGGACCTGTCCTCACTGAAAACAACACTTTCATTAGTTATATTAAAAAAAGAAACTGGCTAGAATGGGATTAGAACCTGAGACTTTTTAATACTGGTCTGGTGCTTTACCAACTACACCATCCAGCCTGATGTTAAGAACAGGTCTATATGTATATCAGCAACTTGGTCACTTTCCTCAATTGGGATGAACAAAGACATTATATAAAGCGTGATTAGAACCTGATACCTCTGGAATAATGCACAGGTGTGCTTTCAATTCAGCCATCCAGCCTGATGTGCTATGGTTCATTAATAGCACCCCAGAACAAGGATGCTAACACTTTGTGATTACTGGCATTAGCGTAACAGCATGGTGTTCCAGAGGTTGTGGGTTCAAATCCCCCACAAATCAATTTCCTTTGTTCATCGTTAATAATCAAGACAAAACTTTAAAGCACGAGACATTAAAGCCAGTGCAATTGAGAGCATTACATGATCAGACATGAGACCAGACACAAGTTGACTTCAGATAGGAGGTTTGGGTTGGTCATATGATGGCCTTGTTGGGTCTTGGGATGGTTTCATAAAAGGTCTTGACTACAGCATCGTCGAGAACTAGACCATAACCTTTCAACATATCTACCTCACCTTGTCAACAAAGAGTAGGATGTCGGTATTGTTGAGCAAGACATCCAGTGCTAGGTTCCCGTCAGTGCCAGGAGTGCATAGGGTCTTCTGCAAAGACATGAGGTTTGACGAGGTGTTGGCAGGCAGTGCAAAGAACTGGTCAAGAACTCCTGGAGAGCAGAGGAGCTCAGCTGGGTGACTCGTACTTGTGAGGAGTTGCAGCAACTCAGCAATCTGGAGGAAAATGGGACAAGGTTATTTAAAGATCAATATTAGGGTGACATTTCAAAATCCCTGAGTGAACCTGTGTACCTGCTCCATGGATAAACAAGACAAAGAGGGTTAAATGCATTTGCCGGTTTATGTACATTGCCAATCGTCTGTGAAACATCTGGCGTGTCTACCAGTGAACTTACTCTGTCCTGTTTCAATTGAAGTTGCAGGATTGCTTTCAGGTCGTCATTCGTCAGGTTGAGCTGCTTCTTCAGATTAGTTAGGATAATTGTTTCATTCCTGAAGAAGTCTGCAATAGGGACGTTATCTAAATCGAAGAAACACAAGTACATTAAATAAATGATGTTAAGAAGAAGGAACAAAGGTGCGGTTTTACACTGCTGACAAAGTCACTATCTGGTTCAGAAGTGTGACGTCACTTCAGTTTAAACATCCCCACTACACAGAGTTACACGGAACCATGGAACAGGAAGTTAATGCACAACTTTAGTATTTGTGTCTGCTCTGTGGGAGCTTGTAATCAGTGGTGGGTCCCCGTGTACGGCAAAGTCAATATGAACTGGATAAAATCTAGCAATTCATTGGACCGTAGGGGAGTCAGGTTGGCACAGTGTTTCTTTCCTCACCTTCCACCTCCGGGGGCCTGGGTTCGAATCTGGCTCAGTCCACATGTGGATTGGGTTTTCAGCCCTTACCAGTGTTGTAGTTGAGACCATCACAAGACCACACACAAAATCCGGCATAAGACCAGACACAAGGCCATGCACAAGACCATGCACATACAAGACCAGTCACAAGACCAGTCAAAAGTAACGGGGTAACAAGGACAGAGAAATGCTTTTGTTGCGGTTCATTTGAATAGCTTGTGACTTCACTTTAGACTGGAGGTCTTGTGTTGGTCTTGTGTGGTCTTGTGAAGGTCTTAAGTGGTCTCGACACTGGTCCCTACCAGAGTCTGTGGGTTTTCCTCCCACCTCTAAAACTGAACATTTCTGCATCGTCTTCTTCACACATTATCATCTTGTAATTGGTGCTAAATGCACTGTTGGATTAACAGATATGCATTCAAAAATGTGCAAAGTTCTTTCATGCCACATCATGCAAAGTTATGGTCAGACGAGTTCCGCTACACTAGCTAATCATGTCTCTATTCACCTACCCTGAAAGTCATTCAGAAATTTGCCCACGAGCTTGAAGAGACTCTGTCCTCTGGAAATGATGTTGGTCACATCCTTCCACCATGTCGCATTCATCAGTTGCATATCTAAACTTTCCATGAGGCTTACAACACTGTCAAATTATTCAAGAAGGTTATAGGGTAAAATTACTTTAAGAAACCCTTGCGAAAGGATTTTCCATCAATTCAAATACTCAAAAGAACAGAGAAGTGACTGAATAAAAGGCATTGTAGACGTCCACACTTACATATCCAACTGTTTCTCCAGTGTTCCCTGCTCAAATTGTTTGAGCAACTCTTGGAATGTCGGCACCAACTTCACAACTTCCAGCAAGTTGGGGAGCCCTTCCACAAACTCCCCCAAGTTCCCGATATTTTGCAGCTGTTCAAGGAGGACGCCTGCATTGTCTAAGATGGCCGACCAGTCAGTCTGACCAAGTGCCTTCAGGAACTCCGAAAACTAATGCAAAAAAGGAAAGTTTGAACTTTTAAAAGTTAGAAGAATAGCTGAATGGGCAACTTAATCAAATGCTTCTTAGTCAGCAGAAAACTGTCCTTAAAACTCAGTTAATTGGATCTACATGTTCTTCCAAGTTTCCAATATTGGGGCAGTGAACAAGTAGATGCCCACTTCTTGAAACAAAATAAGGAACAGAATTTTGCATGGGTTTTCTTCTCAGCTAAGTGGTGAAAGACACAATGCAGCTAATATTTTGGACAGGTGTTAGGCTTGAATACCTCATTGATCAGATATGGTACGTCCAGCTTTGTCTGTAACTCATCAATGATAATCGATATCTGGCCATCTTGGACACTGCACAGCGCCTGGGATACTCCATCCATATCAGTCTCCGGTGGGAATGCCAAGACCTTACTCAGTCTGGTGCTGTTGCAGACAATGCCTTTGAAATCAATGTAGCCAGTCAACTCCAGTAGCTGCAATCAGTAGAAACAGGTTACCAGGGAAAATGAAACACGGCAAACACATTTCTTTTCATTGATTCACAGGATTAGTTCTGCTGGACACTGGTAATTGGGCTCTGTGGTCAGGACCCATTAACTTCTGACAACACCAACTGGTCGGCTTAGGATTTTGAAGAATTTGATGCATTTTGATGGATTTGATACATTTTGATGGAGTTCATATATATTGTTGGATTATATTCATACATTTTGATGGATTTTACATTTTTTGAGGATTTTATAGATTGGGATGGATTTAACAGGTTTTAACAGGTTTGGCAGATTTTAATTAAGTTTTTAATTTTTAATCGATCTGATGAATTTTGATTGAATTGACAGAATATAGATTCCAGGATCATTAATTAATCAAGAGTTTACCTGATAAACATTCATCTGAGCACCAAGCAAGGCATCCACCACAGACCCATCAAGTCCTGCCTCCTGCTTGAGATATCGCTGGACATCACTGACATTATGAAAGAAGTCCCTTACATGATACTTCCGATCTGTGAAATAGTGACAAATTTTTTACTTTGTCATTTTTTTTAAATTGACACAAACAATCAAACAAGAAGTTCAATTAAATTCAATGACACAATAAGCCTTTTGCGAGTTAAATTTGAATAAAATCTGGTAAACTGAGTTCTTTAAATTCATGTGAACATAACCATTTGACCTCTCCATACTAAAACCACTGTTGCCATACCTGGTGATTCAAGGCAAGCTTTTGCTTAGTTACACAAGAGACGCCTTGCAACAATACGCTGTTATGAATGGATAAGAAGGGCACAAAGGAATCAGTCCATTCCAGGGATGGTGGTCGCTGTGCGAAAGCTTGCCCCGAATCACAAGGTATAGCAACAGTGCCTTTAGTCTGGGGAATTCAAATTGTAATGTTAATGTGCAATCAGATAACTAAGTGCACCAGATTTTATTCAAATTTAACTCGCTCAATGCTCCTGCACTCCTGCAAATTCAAGCATACATGAACATTTCTTAAAGCACGAAATGTGTCAACACAATTACATCTGTTAACAGAGTGACTTAGGTGATTGGGCTGATCACTGAAACAAACCTGAACTTAAGGGCCTTACGACTAAAACAAAGTCTTGTCTTTTGAAATAAACCTCTGGTGTTAGACACTGAGGCATCACTAGTGTAAGTGCATATACAACTGTACATGTAAACACCATGAAGTGAAAGGATATATTTTTATCAGCAAAGTGCAGATCTATGGGGTCCTTATGCGTGAATTGCTCAAAAGCCCTGAAGCAGATGTATGTACATCTGTTTTCTGAATCCTTGCACGACTGAAAAAAAAAGGTTCCCATGGATTTTTTTCTTGCAGTGAGTACCCTGGGTTCAAAGAGTTCACCTCAGTCTAGTCTGAGCAAAATTTGAAAAGGTTTTTTTAAAGTTCACCCAACCTTCATTATCCTAGTCTTTCTCACAAGGCGTTAACTTAAAGTACAGAATACTGGAACCTATTTCCTCAATCACTACAAAAGCTCTATTGTGAAACGGTTTACTTTGTGTTTTTACATGTACTCTAGAAGTTCCTGCATGGTATATGTCTCATGGTAACTTAAAAGAATGTGTCTAATCACGTTGGCTATACATGGTTTTGACAATGTAACTTTTTCCTAGAAACATGAATGTTCGTTACAAGAAAGGACTGCACTACATGGTGGTGAATTTTGAAAAGCAGGTGGTTAAAGCAAGGGCTACGTACTTTTCAGAGAAGTTTTGATTTTCTTTGTAAAAGTTCTTTCTTGTATTATTAGGAATGAAAACAATAAAAAAAGACTGGGACCTGAGCCTGTCCTCGTTACAAAGTAGAATGTTGTTGTAACAGTTCTCTTATTAACGAGGTTCAAATATAGTTAGTGCCGATCCCCCATGCTTTCAATTAGTGTTCCGTGAAACCTCAAGCAATATTGAATGCACATCCGGACCATTACCTATTGACTGTTATGACAAACAAGGACTTGACTTTTCTAGAAATCATCGAGTGAAATGATTGCATTGTAACTCAATGCATCACTGAGCACTATGTATATCCTGGAACAGAGGTAGAATTGGGTCATGGACACAGTGTCAGCAGACAATAGGCAGGATATTTGGAGCAATTTTACACCAGTTCCCACAGTATTGTGGAGTTTGTAGAATACAGATTTTTTTATCAAACATTTTTGCAGTGGGGCTGGGGCGGGAGCAGAAGTCACAAGTTCTTGATTTTCAAAACATGAACTTGCAAATCGAAGTAATAGCTGCAATCAATTAAAATCGGTAAGTGGTGTTTAGGGAAATAATAAGTCAGAGATGATGTCTGGACGCAATAGGAGTCAAGCGAATTTTGTTTCGTGAAAGATTTCCTTTCTTACCAGTGAAGTTTGTCAACGATTCTGAGTCCAAGTCCTTGCTGAGCTCAGTGAGTGGCTTGATGACTTCCGGGAGATTCTTCAAGGATTCGACCGTTGAAGTGTTGTTGAAGACGGAATTCAGACTATTTGCTATCTGAGCAAGTCTGTGCGAGAGAGAAAAAACGTCTCGACTTATTTTATAAATTAACAATCGGGCGGGGCCCACACTTGGGTGACTCAATTGTTCCGCTTTCGCAGGTGTGCGTGGAATAGTGTTAACTTGTCTCTCACCGTGTAAGATATTTAAAAAAATGTGCAAACAACTTTGTTCGGCTTCCTTTGAACTTCAAGATGTGCCGTGAATAAGAATGCTAACACAGCCGTGTTACAGTGAGTGCTAGTTATCTTGAGGGTAAAAACAAGTGTCGATAAAAGCGAGCAGGGAATTCAAGGCGTCCAGATTTCTCAGCGCCCTCTGTTCACGCGCACAGGCGAGGAGCTTCAATTTCGTTGTAAGCCCATTTTGAAACACTGGATTTTTTGCACCCAAAAAGATTTTTTTTCAATCAAAAAGACTTCAATTCGAGACGTCATTGAATAAAGTATATGATCAGTGCCACAGCTTCTGTTTGTGACTTGAAAGGAATCAGGGCGTCCGCCGTTAATTCTATGAATGGTAGGCCTACTCATGCAATTGCAACCAACGCTTTAGTTTTTGGCTCAAACCGAGGGGAAAAGGCTTTTAAGTTCATGCCGCTGATCTTGTCCCGAATTTCCCTACACCCCTCCCCCTCCAAAAACATTGGAAAGCAATAAGCTTAAGAATTGCAAGGGGAAAGCTAGTAAGTTTACCCCCTCCCTACAAAGTCAAAAATTACGAGAACGCCCTTAATTACAGCCTAGCTAAGGCGATAGGGACCAGCGACTTGTCGACAGCACATCTTACAATTTTCAAATGCGGCGTTTGTTTCCGCTTCCATAGAAAAATGTTTAATACTTTCATGCTCTTTCTCATCCATGCCATCCAGAAACGAATCTGCTAATATCCAAATAGATCATGTCATACAGTTCCGCGAAATTAAGTGACCGGAGTAAATAAAAAAAAATACATGTAGGCCTACGGTGACCCCTAGCCCTTTCTGATTCAAGGCTTTGCATTGCAACACCGTTCAATATTCCCGCTCTACTTCCGTCTGAGCTCTTTGCACGCGTACCTGTTTCATGGTGGTACGGGGAGTCCAAGGTCAAAAGGACACATTGCTGAAGCATACAAAGCGAAACTTTCTCCCGCGACTGCATGCCAAGGGACTATAGGAGTACAATATCGTACATGCACTCTTACCTGAATTCTTTGTTTAAATCTACAAAAAAAAAACTTTCACAGACTTTTTTCCCGTGCCTGTTGTATGTCAAGGAAAATGTACATTTATAGGTCTATACGATACTCTTGCGTGGTAAAGAAAACCGTTAAAAGCCAAGTTGGGTCATGGATGATGTGATAATGATTGGGAATCGAAAAGCTCTTGGAAACAGTCCCAGTACCTTGCTTGGAGACCATTCTTTTGTAGCCTACAAATTTTTTTTAAAAAGTTAAAATCGTTTCAGAAAGAAATCTCCACTTAGCCCTCCCCCAAGTCAAAACTATGCAGGATTTGCACGAGTAAAGTACATATATAAGTTAATGAAAACTACAAGTGGTGTTATCAGCTGAAGACATTGAAACTACCATGATGATTACAGTCGACAGAAGGTTTGAAAGTAACGGTTATGCAGGCTTAGAGTCTGGAGGGGATTTTTCCTTCTTCTTCCTCTTCTTCTTATTATTATTATTGTCTAAACCTTTTTCACCCGTGAAAAATTCTATGATAATAATGAAAGTCCCCACATCGTTTAAAACGTTTAATTCGGAGAAGAAAAGGCTACATGTACCCAGGGGAAAGTGTCCCTTTGTCCCCCAGAAACCACTCCATCCACGTAAGGTGCTGCCCCCGTCCAAAGAGCACCTTCAAAGTTCAACCTCTTACCTGGCCTGTTTGAGATACGGTGGAAGCTCGTTGCCGGTCAGACTGCTGTTTGTCTGGGTCTTACAAGACGTGCTAAGGTCGCACGTGAACGACTGCAGAAAGGGTACCAGACCACTGCTCGGCATGGCTTTAGAGTCATAATGACCTGAGGGACAAGGATTGATACCAAGATGATACCAGTGGTGGGGGAAAACAAGGCCAGTTTCTGATAAAATGCCAGTTTTTCCGGAACAACTATACTGAAATATTTGGCAAACTCTCTAAATGTGGACGTCTTCCAGAATTCCGGACCTAGTTTTGGCTGATACCTTTCGACGGTATCGTGCATGGAGTTGAGCTGCACTGTCAATGAATAGATTCTCGAGCATCATTTTTGGGGGGATCGAAACATAATTTTAGAATATCAAAGCGTTTTTTCAGTTTTCCACAGTTTAAAGAGCATATCGATTTAAATTCACAACAGTATCTTTCTCCGTTAAATTTAACGAAGACAGAATCAGAAGGTAAGATACCGCGCCCAGGTGTGGGCGTGGTAATTGGCTTGAAGAGGATGAGTAAAGTTGGATCCTTGATCTTGCTTGCAATAATGTTTCAACGAGTATTGTATTTCGGTGGGCAATAACTGTTAATTCATCCAACATTCCCAAAGTTTGGGCATTAACTTGCAAAAGAAATAAAGGGACTATTAAACACCGTTGCCAAATTTTATAGGTTCTAGTCAAACTCTTTTCATTTCATTTCAGCGCAGGAAGAAGTGCCATGACGCAAAAATGCAGCCAACACGTGACGCAGATTATACATATTTTTTTAATGATCTGAAAGTTCCTGAACTGGTTTCCTCTGCAAACGGAAGTTTGAGAAGCTTCGGTGTTTTGTCCCAGACTCTTTGCCGGAATCAATGTTTTGCCTGAATTTGTAGCCTATTCTGGGCTGTGGCAGCAAGTGATAAGCATCGATCTGTAACAACAGAATGGCTTGTCCAAAGTTCCTGATGTCACTCGCCGAAACCTGAAATCCTGAAATCCTACTATTATTTGTTCCAAGGGAAGACAACTAGACCTCAAACACTAATTCCCTGAACTCAATTTCTCAAACGTTTTGATGGTATTTTTGGTATTGATGGAGTTAAACCGAACGTTTTCGATTAAGAGAGACCAATAGACGTAGGTTTTTTAATAAAATGAAACCACTGTGATTTATACCCTCAAGGCTACAATGTGATTCATTGGAGTAATCAATGTCACGGTGGTTACGTGAAAAGACAGCTAAGCGTGAACACCTGTTACCTGTCCTTCTCTTTATAGTTCCTCTTTTTGTAAAATGTGTGTCTATCATAATAACTATCCCGATTGATTTAAGCGACGTTTAAAACAATAAATCCAAAACCAAACATTCTGGATCGATAGGAGTGGTACTCTATGGTTTCACTGCAATCGACAGCGATCTTGGATTACTCAAGTATGAAAGGTGCGACCATTGACCGCCGAAGCCACCGTGACCAAATTCCGCCGTATGTATTTACTGCCATCGCGAGTAATATTGGTTTACGCACGTATGAAACGCGTGACTACTGAAGTGGGGTCAGAAACCAGTGACGTACATGATAAAAGACCAATGAAGACATTTCCCACCCATTTGATGATGATTTCTGCCTCGTGCACGGCACGTCATGGACTAAAAATATGGGTTTAGGAGAATTCAACAAAGCTTGTAAAATGCGACACACTGTCACGAGAACTTCTGTCATTGAGTGAGGATCTGATTCGGGCGAAATTAGTGTCCTATTGAAGGTCGCAAGTTCAACAGGACGCTTTTTTATTCTCACACTGAGTCGATACGGCGTTCACAGAGCAATGGTGACATTGTCCTGCCATGATTTTTCGACGGCACCTCCACTTCCAGGCAAAATGAACACAGAATACATGATATTACATTGTCTGTAACTTCTATTATATCGCAATAGGCCTACATGTTAACAGACTGCATGCTCGTGTGCTCTTAAATAAAACCATCTTTCATTTCAATAAACTACTTCGATGACACCTTTCTGCCAGTATACCACTGTCTATAGAATACTGAACAAGGCTAGTGCTCAAGTTCAACATATTCTGCAGAAAAATTCAAGTTTGAATTAACTACACAAATAAAATGGCCTCGAGCTATATGAAAAATTACAATGAAAATATAATTTTCCCCCAGAACTACACAAGTTAGACGAACTAGGTGAGACGATGTGACTTTTCTGTCGGCATACATTTCACATAAGTATTCCACTTCTGTGAAATGGTGGAGTTTTTTCACAATCACAAACAGCAGCCAAAACTGCACAGGTTACTACACGAACTTTACCCATCCAGGATTTAAAAAACAAAGCTTGATAGGAAAAACTCTAAAATTTGGCAGCTATAAACAAGTGTATCATCCTTTAAGCGGTAGATACACTATATAAACATAACAAATTAAAACAGGGGATGAGAAAAAATCCAACCATCAAAATGCCAAATAAAGTTTAAAATGCATATCTGCACATATGTGTACTCTAGTACCAAATTGTATTGAATTTTCCTTCCTATAACAGCACTGCCATAGTCTGTACAACCCCAGACATTCCCAGAACCCGCCCGGGCTCGTATCACCCTAGAGGCCACTCCACCGATGTCGACTTATAACCATAGATCCAAAAACTCACGGTCGGAAATTCTTACAATTCGTTGAGCACACTAAATTCAATTCGAGTGTTTTTCAACATATAAACACCCAAAGCAATGTCAAAAAACAGTGTAGATCCATGAACGTATATGGCGGGAAAAGGCCAGTGTAGTTTAAAATTCGTTTAACCTAACCCCTAAGGGTAAATCACATTGAAATCGGAGGATTCGGGACTGTTATGGGGTTTTAAAATTCGTTCACCAATTGAACACATTTTACAAAGAAGGAAACATGCCTCCCTTCACATCGGCTAAAATAGTCCAGGGGTTCTTTCCATCAAGTGAGGACTTCATCAACAGTCAAAAAATCAGCAAGAACATTCTGAGTCATTTCAAACGTTCCCCGGTCATTTCAAACTAAAAGTGAAATGAGATATTTTCATTCCAAAATGACGTTATATACAATAAATTTCTGCATATTTTAACAAGAGGGTATGAACTCTACGGTATTCGGAGCTTTAAGGAATACTTAAAGATTGATCGTCAGGCCAACACCAGTTTAATCCCGCGTTGGCGGCAGCTTTTAAAGTCTTTCTGATGATCCCATCAGATTAAATAATGATAAGATAAGATCTAATTAAGAAACTTACAGTTTGGTTTTGTCTGGGGTTGGAACCGCGTCCGAACTAATGCAATGGCCAGTAAGAGAAGGATTGGCCATAGCAGCAGAGTTAACGTCGAAACCTGAGAAAAATGACATAGCAAGAAATCAGTTTCATCATTGTTCTTTTTGATGATTATGGTTTGGATCACAAAAATCATAACCCACATACTTACCTCTTACCTCACGGGCACGGGGTGTCAAAACACCATTAACGGTTGGAGGGTGCACATTTCGAGTTTTAATCAAATTTGCGACTTTTACCGGATTTCCCAAATGTGTTTCTTTGCCTTTTCTTTCCCTTTTTTCTTTTTTTCCTTTTTAATTTTTCGGGTCCACCTTCCCGAAATACAGTAAGTTTCTTTACGACACACATTTGTCGAAAAAGATAAAAAAAAGCCATACTGTAGTTACCAATTAAATCAAAGATGGCGAAACATTTGGTGATATTCAATGGCGGACAGTAGAGTGACCATCGTGGAATATATACCCGGCAGAAATTTTGAGAATAAGACCTCAACAAAGCGTTGAGATGACGCTATTTGGGTCTTAATCGGAACCAAGACAAAAACGAATCAGATATACGTAAAACATCGGGAGGAAAACAGATTGACAGACAGTCTAGAGATCTGTGATTAATTGACAAAATGCAATTTTCTTAAAGTGGGGGAATTGTGATAGAGATTGTTAATAATAAATGAGAATGTCGTCTTTCACTGAGTGTATAAAGACCGACAAATATGACAGCCGCACGCTGTTATTTTTACTTTGTTTTTTATATCTTTTCCAGCAAAGTTCCATAATAATTGTTCAATTGTGCAATCATGTGCAACTCTAAAGAGAAACGTTCAACACATCTCTGAAAACAACACCCTGGTGTCATTTTACACAGCAAGTATTTGATACTTGTGAGTTCCGTAAACAACGCTTTGAACAGAGTCACTTTCATTTTCATCACCCAATTATTTCGCAAATGTTTGCATTTTTCTATCGTACAACACTCTCACTAATGCGTCACTACAAATAATGAGCACCAAAAACTGTTTGTTTTAATAACAAACAAAATGAAACACAGAATGCATAACATTGAACATGTACATAAATCACTTTACAACATTAACCCAAAAGAGTCAGGTTATTTTTGGACCATCGCATTGCGGGGAGGAGGGGTAAATTACGCCTCCCAACCAAGAACTCAGATATCACATGCCCAGATCATAATGTCACCATACGCATGTATAAAAAAACTCATTATGTGCCTGTCCATATGTACGTGTGCGTTGCGTTCGGACGTCAAAATCGCATCGGGAGCGATTTCGACGGAAACGCAACGATTGGCGCAAGTGTTGACGCGCATATGGAAAGGCAACCTTTACAGTAAAAATGTGAAGTTTCAAGTCAATGTAAGATAGGGTTTTAGTTTGAATAGGCCTACATGACCTCCGCAAACGCATCAGCCTACGTGCATTAAACATACAATGGAAAAAGTAGGGATTTTTGGCTATCCTGTCTTGCAAAAATGTGCGTTGGGTGAGAACAGTACATCGAATTGGAAAAAAATGTGCAACTGTTAAGAAATTTAGATATTTTGATGTGACTACAATATCGACCGGCCACTATGATATCACACCGTACTCGCCTTGACCAAGAACTGAAACGGTGGAATTGGAGATTGTGCAGCGGGTAACATTACAATTGCCATCAGTTCTGGGGTGACTACGATCACGATGATTGAAAAAAAACATGTAAGATAGAATCCAGCCGGTATTTCTTAACATTAGCCTAGCTCGAGGCTGCTTTAAATTTATCGGAAAGTTTCACTTAGGTCTCTGGATGTATGGTCGATTTTGCTTTGAATTAAACGAGAGAAAAGGCGTTACAGTGGCCACTTATCTTCTGTTTAAAACACGGAACTCATTACCAGGGAAAATCAACTCACGCAGTATATGCGTGAGATTTCGACCTTTTAAATGCAGTAAACATAAACACAAGGTTTTTTACCACAATTTAATAAACATAATACCTAAGAGGCTTTCAAAACACTGGATGCTGTTGGATTACGCTGTACCTACAACTTTACTCTAAAGGACATCGGTTTTTAGTTTGTTTGCATTAATTATTAATATATTGATTCATTTTATAAATGTAATTTTGTAAGTACATGCAGTAATTTTTCTGACGGTGACCATTTTTTGGTGATGTTCATTTTATATTTAACCCATCATCGCCTAAGAACGTATAACACTTCGATGGAATTTGTTTCAAACAGCTATTTGACTACTTTGGGATAATCACATCAGAGGGTCAGGTTAAAAAAAGCAAAGGTTTAAAACATAGTTTGTCCCTTAAAATTACAAATCATTTAATTGAATGATTGCTTTTAAAACATAAAAACGGCAATTATATAGCAGTTAAGATAAAAATGAGAAAACATGAAATTCTCACCGGTGCTCGTAATCTGAGCTTGAGGTTCTTGCGCATGAGCAAACCTAACTGGCCCAAGACCCCCATGGTGTCTGTCCACCAGTGCGGCCACCAGTCTGTCACCTCCTGGCTCGACTCTGATCGGTTTTACTGCGGCTTTTAGCTGGTACAGACGAAACTACAATGCTGCCAGGAAAACGAGAGAAAAGAAAGTCAGGGAGAAAAATTCCGCTGGAGAAAAACTTTCAAATTTACAGTCTCACGGTTTCCTTTCTCTCCTATGTCTTTCAGGAAATGAGGGTAAATTTCATATCGCTGGGCAGATATTGCAGTCTCGCGGTAATGATACTTTCAAAAACATCTCCCTACACCGAAAGTGACACTACACAGTCTCTGTAAAGGGGGTAGCAGATTTCAAATACATTGCCATCCTGTTGATTCCAAACAGAATCCTCTAAATGCAAGGTGCGTAGCTTTGTGCGAAGTCATGTGGCCACTAACAAAATCCAAATGACTAACCGACCGACAGTTTTCACAAACTGAACAAATATGAGACAATAAACTCACTGATTAAGTTCTTTGGAACATTCCGTTCAGTCAGCTTCTGTTAAACAAGAAATTCTGAAACTGTGCTTCAAAAAAAGAAAAATTGACAGCGCAGCAGAACAGACTTCAGAGAGACGCCCGTTCAACAAACATATCACACTGCCGCGTCGGCGACGCCAAACCTACTTGTACGTCCATATCCAGGTGAGACCCTTAAATAACGTTCACATGACGTTGGCGGCACAATACCGGTATAGTATACCTCTCAAATAACAACACAGTCAACTCATTTGAATCAAAATAAGTTTCTGCTTTTGAATCCTACCAAAATAATAGCCAGAGGTCGAAGTTGAAAGACAGTACACACGCACACTAATGCATGATCAGAACCCTATGGCCGTGAGTAACTTCACAAGTCCAATCAATAAACGAAAGCCCTTCTTTGCTTTTGCTGCATGCGCGCCACACAACTCAAAAGTGACTCAGACTTGCCCAGGGAAGATATATAGCATGCACGCATACGCCAGTTGATGGACAAAAGGGCTGTGAATTCATCCATTTTCCTGACTTCTTTCGAAGTACCGTTGTCCACGCCCAAAAGGAAACATGACAAGGATTCAACATTCCAAATCCGGGGATTTTAATATCCAAAAGTGGCCATGATTGCCTCGAGCAGCGGCTGACAGACCTACAGCGTGGCGGATAAAGTTTCACAGCGTCCGCAAGTTCCTGACGCGTCAGGCTAAGGGAGAAATGTCACAAGTCCCCCAATTTCCTTTCTGCAAAGTATATTCGTAAGGTAAAACCCCCAAACCCTGGACTTAAACTGCCGCTGTCATGAAGCTAAACACGCATAGTCTTGTTTCCGTTGTCGGCTATCGTGGAGGTTGCATTGAGTGTTGCGCGCGATTCTGAAAGCGAGTACGGGACCTTTCAGCAAAAGGTCATCGCAATTTTGACAAGTTCGTCTGGGTCATGAGAATCACTGGGCCTATGTGACGGGAAAAACACACGGGGCGGGCATAGCGTGCCCGGCCGTACCACCACTCCAGCGCCTCGCCGAATCGATATCCTAGCCATGTTGATGTTATGAACAGTCGATTCAACTATGTCCTCCCTTGATCAACCGTTAGTTTATATATCTTCCTGCCAATTTTCGCAAAGTACAACCAGTGACGAGAAAAAGGTTTTGAACGGGGAAAATAAATTCATTAGTTTTTGATAATAAATTCATTAGTTTTTGATAAAAATATTTTTTTTCCGTCCTGCACATCTGCAAAAGCTGATCACCACTGACATCATTTCAGCCGGAAAATACATGTTCACCTCAGCAAAAGGTCTTGATCATAGTACACCCCCCCCATATACCAGAATCAGCCATGTGTACCGTGTTTGATTATAATATAGACAACATCGCCATTTGGGGGGGGGAGTCACAGCAGGGCAACCTTGCACATTCGTGAGCGGCGTGACTACGGACTGTCACCAGAACGGTTTGATAACACTCACGTGGATTTATATCACCGACATTTCAACACACTGTCGGCGCAACTGGCTTACCAATACCAGAACCGCCGTGTCACTGGAACAGTGGACCCCCCACAGCGCCGGAGCAGTTTTCTTGGTCTAGGGCCCGCCTAGCTCAACTGAATTCTTCCCTTGTACTTCGGGACTTTGGTCACAGGTCACATCATTGGACAAGCAAGCAAGAAATGTTAGTGTTGGTGAACTTTCACATGCATGTACATACCCTGTGCACTACAGTACTTCATTACCATGTCAACACTTCTGTTGTGGAGCAAATTCACTTCGAATAAATAACGATGATCAGATAGCGTCATTCTGCGTCTGGTCATATAATTGCTCATGGGGTACACAATTTTAACTTGTAGGGGAATCTTCTGGAATTGAAGTGATTATCGCACACTAATTTTAGATAATCATACGAATCGATTACAGCCGTGCGCCCACAAAAAGATAAAGCAGAATTGCCGAATATGAAAGTTGGAACACCAAAGATGCGTAGGCCTACTTACTCAATATAGTCTCTTAAAATGTTACATAAGGCATGTCATGTGTTACAAGAGTTCTATCCCAATTGAAGAAACAAAGACTCTGTTCTGTATTCATCTTGTTTTAACATTGAAAGTTGCATAAACAGTTTATTCATACCAAGAGTTTGCGTGTATTTCAGCATACAGGTAAACTGGACTAAACAAAATTAGTACTTAAGCTTTGAAATGCAAGCATTCAACCATCATCCTGTAAATACGAGCAACGACAATTAGTGATATGAATACGTGTACAGTCAATCCTCGTTAACAGGTGCACTATTGTTACAACGTTCATTCTGCTCATATTTACAAGGACACTTTTAGTCTCAGTTTTTGTTCCTTGTTTTCGTTCCTGGTAATATATTGGGTTCCTGTTTTAACGAGTTAACCTGCAAAGTCCCAAGGACATCTCATGAATGAGGTTCGACTGTACATTGCCGAACTGGAAAAGTAAGCGTTACCGTCAAGTTGAAAAGGAAGTTCAGTATAAATGTTGACCAGAGTGCGTATTCACTGTAGTAGTTGGCCGCCAGTGAAGGATTTGATTTTTTATCATGTTTCTTCACTGTGCTCATTCGCATAAAAAACCAGTTTAATTCTGTTTATAAACCCCAAGCGTACCACACGGAAGACAATGATTTTTCTGCAATCAATTGCAAATAAATTAAAATAGCCAAGAACAGCCTTCAAGTTCCAACGCATCAGCAATGCATAATCATAATAGAATCTTTAATTCAAAGATCGCTGACTCGTAAACCAGATTAGGCCTAAAAACACCGGATGAACGATTTGATAACTAACATCGTGGTAATAGCATTTATCGGGCCATGGTTGGAATGGCTTCATGCTTTAAGGAGCGTAAAAGAACTTCATAGCGATGTACTGTATACCAGCAGAACTCAGCACAGATGAAGCCCTCTTCACTCACACTGTTGGACACAATCGTGTAATGGGATTCCTACTGCCGAAGAATGAAACGCGCGGAATACAAATAGCACTTAATATATGGACTAGCAAGTGCCACTGTTAATTTGACCTTGCGAAACCAAATGGGTTGGGACAGTATTGTGAGATTGACTTTCACAACGGAGTGGCCCTTGAATTCCTCGATGTGCCTCTCCAGCACTCCCGACGACGAGCGCCGTGGTAGCAGGTGTACATGTACATGCAATTGTACAGGGTGTACAGTGTACATGTACCTGTACAGCAGTTTAGGTCAATCCAGCGACTACTCTCGACCTTCATAACATACAATATTGCAGTGTTCACATAGAGGTTATGCACATAGGCGGAGTTGAAGGGCAAAATCTTTGTTGTCACTAGGATAGGGTCAAATAAACCTGTGCATTCATTATAACTAAACTGCACTGACAACAAACCAGCAATTCATTCCACGCTCTGGTCGTCCTCCACGCCTCTATAAAGACTGGCACTGTGGCAGGACAACCTCACGCGCCAAGGTGATGGTTGGTATTGCCTTGGATCGGACCATGGTCGGACTGCCCCAAAGACACTAGGCGCGCTAATGTACTGTGCATTCTTTCCTGCATGGCATGCCTTCTGCGACTCAAAAGAAAGACACAAGCCTACCTCTGAACATTCCTGGTTGTTTGAGGTTGGCGGGCGGGAACGCGCGTGAACGGCGCTGGATGCCAGACGTCTGTGCTCGTAGTTTGTCCTTGGTTACACCATAGAGCTACAACCCAATGGTTACACCATGGAGCTATTTGCTGCGGGTTCAATCCAAGCTTCAGGGTTCGGAAGGACAGGTGAAGGAATCCTTCAGCCAGACAGTTGTCAATGGGCTTACGTAACGTCACGTTCAGCTTTCGTTTGCTTTCACTTTCACACACGCACCGCGTACCGTGTATGCGCGCGTGCACGCCTGGCTGCTTTTTGTTAGGGAAATATCAAACGTTGCACGGATCCAGTCCAGTGCTCTAAAATTAGTCTCGATTCGAGCAGTACAGTGGGTTGTGCACAGGACCTCCCAAAAGCGACCATTTTCACGGGAGCCTTGAGCAAAGACTAGACAGATCCAAACTGGTTTTGCTTGACATTACAGTATGTTTTTTGTACCACTCCGTATACATGCATGATTGTTGGAGAATTAAGCTGTCTTACTAACCTTGACTACTTTATGACCAACTTGAATAGGACCATAGACTTCAAAAGTTAATACTGCAGGTATGGCCATAAAATAAGAGAGGAAAATTGAGCATCACAAAAGAATCCACAGCCGATAAAGTACTTACACTATGTAGCACTGATGGAGTGTAGTAGCTATGGGTGTAAAGTAATGTAAGTTTGGTAGTCAGCGCATTGGCGCGCCTCAGTATATGCGCGTTTAAGGCAGAGCATGCCAAGTACGCATAACACCCCGGCATGTATCGTTAGCGTATACGCAGAACGCGTGCAAGAACTTATACTCGCTTGTAACCACCTGTCTTTCTTTCGCCGATTGACGATGCACTTCACCTCGGGGCGGACTAATTTTGAAAATGTATACAACTTGTAATAACAGCTGGTTATTACGGAAGCCAGTTAGTGCCAATTTGAACTATGCAAAAAAAAAAACTATTGCGAAATGTAACCCGCACTAACTTTGCGAAATGACGCAATAATTCTACGGACATTTGGGGCACGTTCGCGCAGCTACTCCGGTTAGCAAGAGTTGGATGCGTGCGCATTATAACCGGGTGCAGGCGTATATACTACCCCGTAAGTGAGAGTATAATCTTGATGATCCACTGGTTGTACGCCAGCCGTTCGAATGCTCAGGGGTATCGTGTTAGCACGAACAGCTCGCTCGAACGCAACCCCTGCGTCTACTCGAACGCAACCCCTGCGTCTACTCGAACGCAACCCCCTGCGTCTACTCGAACGCATGGGGGACGCAGATGAGCTTGCGTTGGGCTGCGTCTACTCGAACGCAACCCCTGCGTCTACTCGAACGCAACCCCCTGCGTCTACTCGAACGCAACCCCCTGCGTCTACTCGAACGCAACCCCCTGCGTCTGCTCCAGTATGAAAAGAGCGGCAATATCAACAATCGATGACTTGTTCTTTAGGCTCTTGGACAATCCGTAATAGGCCAAACGTCGCTTCAGCAGGGTCCTCGAACTTACGATGATACCATGATTTTCTGCCCAAACCACGACATGTGATCATAACTCAAACCAAGAGAGAAACAGAAGCTCACAAGTTTGCGTAACGTCATGTTTACTGCTTAGCTTTCCTCGATAACTGCTTCACGGGAAATCACCTGCACTGCTCACTCTAGGGTGCGTTCGTCCCACCGGAGTGTGACCCGCTGGTCAGCGAGAGTATACTCCCGCTAACGGGGCGTATACTCCTGCATCCGGGTATCATGCGCACGCATCCTACTCTTGTTAACCGGAGTAACTGCGCAAACGTGCCCCAAATGTCCGTAGAATTATTGCGTTATTTCGCAATGTTATTGCGTTATTTCGCAATAAAATACATTTTTGAAT